CGACGGAATCTGGAGCTTCCGGCGAAAAGCACATAGGCCCCCAAGGGTAGGACGCAAAGAAAGACCGCATCCCGTCCCAATCTGCTGACTTATAGTGCCAAATACGGCGACAACCCATAAAGCGGGGCCGTGAAGGGCGCGTAGATGGCACAGTACTCCGGACCACACAATGATCTGATGAACCCAATGGCGGGTCAACAGAGACTTGATAGTTCTCCGGATGAGAAGTCAGCAGAAGGTCCAACAAAGAGGGTTTATGACCATCCACATCTGGTATTCGCGTAATCGCAGGGACCATTTGTGTCAGGTCGTAGGCTAAAGCAAAGTCGTGAAAGGATCTTCCCGCGTGATCGGTGGTTTCAGAGCCGAGCCAATCGGCATGGTGGGCGTTAAAATCGCCAAGTATCACGATTTCAGCGGTAGGAACCCTTTCGAGCAGGGAATCTGTAGCCATTTGGATGTGCTCAATGAGTCGGTCAGTTTCGGTATTTCCGCTATGGGACCTATACAGGAATGCGTAGAATCGCGGATGGTCATCGCAGTCTACGCGCAGCCAGAGGTTAGATAGGTCCCTTCCTTCAAGCGTCCCGAGGCGACGAGAACAGATATCCTCTCTGACGTACACGCAAACTCCAGCCCGCGGCACAAATGAATGTTCCAATTTGTACCCCGGGTAGGATAGGTGGGAAGTATCAGCCGGGGAGGATATCTGAGTCTCGGTAAGAAAGAGCAAGGCCGGCTTCGCAGTCTCTAGATGATAGTGGACAGCGTTGATGTTAGAATTAAGCCCCCTAACATTTGTGAAGTCCACGGCGAGTGTGGACGGGGGTGCCTTTGTATAATTGCTCCGTTTGCCCCGAGGACGATTACTATTTTTGTAGAGCGCAGAATTGCCCCCCAGAATACGAAGGGCAGCCTGTGCGTCCACCACCGGGTGCTGAGTGTCCCGGTGGTGGACGCCCAGAGGGGGATTCTCCACCGCGAGCGCGTGTGGTACCCCCCTGGGGTAGATTCTGTTTTTTCTGCACCTTCATATTTCTTGTGTGGGGGGATGGGCTCCGGGAATCTCTCTCACCGCACGAAACGCGAGTACAAGAAGGCGAACCTTTTGCATCACTTCACGCCGGTTTTCTGAGAGACAGTGGTACTGCCCCGGTCGTGCCTGCCCATTTGGCTGAAGCCCGAAGGCAACAGCATGGCACTCCCACTAGGAAGGGGTTGACTGATTGCGCTGATGAAATAACCTCTGTCACAGGTTATTTCACCAGTGGGCGATGGGGTCGTCACGTCCCGACGCCTAAAAATAAAAATATACGCATATATTAATCAAAATTTGTGTAGATTTTTGATGTTAATACGTTTAATTATAGACAAAGCAACGAATGAGGTCACAATCAGTTAGTATTATCACTCAAATCATTTATCTGTGTGTATTTTTGTTCATACCCGGAAACATTGAACGTCCTTGCGTGTATACGATATTGTAAACATTTTGCATTCGTTAATTTTTGTTGCTGATAATAGTACCATATGAAATATTGAAATCTATAAAATGTTAGTTGCCTTACTATCCAATGGGGAGAACACACTTTACTGTCCGTTTTTAATTGATATTTTATACGTACATAGATTGTAGAAAAAAATAGTATATCACTGGAGCTACAACCTTTTTAGGTCTCTGATTTCTGTATCTGTTACATGATATTTTGTCAATCTAATAGGCAAGTAGGTAATCAGCCTCATGTGCCTATAGTGTGTTACATTTTATAGTAACCGGAAAAGAAACGTCGAAAATCATACCTAGTACAAACACAAATAATACATATGGTGCCTAAAAGAAATAAGAGAGACTGAAATATAAACAATGCAAAGAGATCTCTTATTCATGATTTAAGTAATTTTCTTAATAGCTGTATATATATATATAAATTAGCAATTTCTAATCAGTAACTAATCACCATAATAGTTAATAACAAATAAAAGAATATTGCTAATGCAGCAAAGCTTTCTAGGTCATTAACATACAGTAATAATTTAAAACATTTGTTATTATATTAACATCAAAAATTAAAAATTATGTAAGATAAATATATTGCCCTATTTTCAAGTTACTTTCATTAAGCCGGATAACAATTGCTCCATTGTGCTGTCACCGTTCTCATTACGATATTATATTTTACTTTGACCACGAGTGAGCATATTATTTATTAAAAAGACTTTATTTTTGCTTTATCTTGTCATAAGCTGTACTAATTAATTGCTCATAACAATAGTAATCTGTGAATAAAAAGTCAATAGAAAAAAGCCCAATAAAAAAAAATAGAAAAAACTTGTTTCAACATTACTTAAAAGTAGTAATAAATATTGAAAATTCAAAGACAATTAAAAAAAAAACAAAAAAAATACGTAATGACCATAATTATACCACTTACGTGTCAACGCACCCTACGTACGTGACGTATAACGATCGAATAGTATCATGCCTATGTCGAAACCGAGTTAGCCGACAATAAGCGCGGCCTAAATTAACAATTGAGACTACCATTACCGCTTCAATGAACACTTGCAACATCTAAACGATTAGAGATAACTTTTATAAAACACACTTTGGCCGGCATTATATTTACATACTATTGAAGTAACTAGGAAGTTTTGGTGGTGAATACACAAAGTGTAGCTCGCTAAGACTAAGGACGAGAAGACATCGTAGGATGTCTATTTCCCTCTTATTTCCTGTCGCTTCAATAAGGATAAATTGAATTATTTTGCCGTCCTAATTCACTTCAAACTCTAAAGACTTGTCGCCTTTGAAGGCATTATGACACCGTTTGATTTATTGTGGCTTAAAGGCCTAAACTAAAACATAAATATATGAAAATCAAGATATATTTAAAATACATAATTAGGTACAAAAAAATAGAAGTTCAAACGCATTAAAAAAGTGAGTCTTACTTAATATTATTAAACTATTAGAAGCTTTAGTGGTCTGTATATGATTCATCAGTCACACGTAATTATATACGTAAGTTAATATCATATACGTTTGTCGTAGAACACGTCTCCGTTTACTGTTATTGAAAACGGTAAATGTTTCAATTTACTAACTCGGCGCGAAACAATACTGAGAAATGTAACAAAGTATCATTGATTCACGAGAAAAATCTACTTGATTGAGAAACATAACTTAAGATATAAAATTACGTAGTTTGCTTAATTTTCTTCAAAGTAAATGAAGGTTCAATTACCAAAATTACTTTCATAGCACCAAACTAATTTTTTACACCGACAACCAAAACTGCGCGCGCTAACTCGCTTTAAAAGTGAAGTAAAAAGAGTGTTTCATTTACTCTAATAGGTCTGGCCCTGAATCCCGGATTTACATTTAACAAAAATTTTCAAACTGGAGAACAAAAGAGCTTTTTTCCATTTCAAATAACTACGGCGAGGTCAAGATCAAAGCTTGGAATAACGAAGCAATCTTTTATTGTAGATTTGTAATGTTGATAAGTAATTTAATTTATTGGTTCGATGTAAATATCTTATAATTCACGGCTAAGCTTTCTCTACATAAAGGTTATAAAAATAAACCAACGTGGGTAACAGTTGTTAATAGAATCTGCATATGCCAGAGGTGAGATAAATGTCAAGCGTTAAAAACTTTTTGATACATTATATGTAATAAATTAAATTATTAAGAAATCCATATTATTAAGGATTCATGTAAATAAATACAATTTCAAAAATTGAAATATGCATAATATCTCGACCTTATATGAAATACAAGAGACAATAGAAAAACTGGGACAATTTCTGTTCATTTCTGATTTTAATATGCACGGCTTTGTTGCATATTTGGGGCATTGCTTTTGTAGTAAAAGCATTCATTTGGAAGTTTTATAACAAGCTGCTCTGGATCGTAGCGGGGTAATTAACACAAATAAAAAAAATACTCCGCGGGGTATCACGCCCATACCGAAGTTATTCATTTACAGACTGCAGCATTTTTGTCCACAGACTTTATTTTTTTAAAGTTTAAATCGCCTTATTTACTTGTGCAATATAGTAGTTTTTGTAATTTTTGTATATTATTGGTTTATAAATACGATCATTTGCATTAGGGCTACAGAAAAGCAAGCGGAATATGGTTGCAATTGCCCTGCTGTTAGCATGCAAGGCGTTACTCGCAAGGTCGACGGCCGCGACCGCTAAGGCCTACGGATGCGCGAACGCACTGTGGTTGCGACCACGCAACGATATCATATAATTATATTTCTAACAATAATAGGAATGATTTGTTGTTTACTACTTAGTCGGACAACAATCCTACAATTTCAGGGAGAGTCAACTAAGTTATCAAACTTCAGCAACAAACAAAATTCTGAAAATCCAGACATTAAAATGGTGAAAAAAATTAAGACAATTTATTTGTTTTGTATATTGTAAGTGCCTGTTATTTTATACATTATGATAACCAAAACTGACATTAGAAATAAAGAATTATTTAATAGTAGCAGATATCAGTGACCACTCAATAACCTATTCCTGGATGTAATGATGTATAGTCCAATGTTATGAATATCTTAATATTCTTTTGTACTCAAGATTAACTAACAGAAGAGTATAAAATGATTCACAATAGATAAGAGTCATAAAATGCATAGTAGATATAATAATGGGGGATCAAATTTCATATTTTTACAAAGCTAATCATTGTGTAATTTTTATTGAGTAGTGAACCATTATAACAAGAAATAAAAACATTTGTATACAATATATTTATAAATATAAATTTTGATGCGTATTGTGTATAATGGACTTTAATTTGTTTAACCTTTCTTTGTTCTCTTTTCTTGATTTAGTAGTTAATATTTTTTTCAGTCCTACTTAAAAATTAAAATATTATAAATATATGTATTTTATTCTTTGTAGTACTTTTATACTCATTATGTGGGATGAGTGTATCACAAAGGGATGTTCAGATTTTTGTTTGTGCGTAAAACTCATAATAGATTGTCATAATAGAATGGAATTATACCTTCTGGATATGCTTGTTTATTCGCGATGATGTCTATAATGGTGTGGCTTGAATTATAAAGATGTCCCATAGCGCGCATGTCGAATTCCACCCTGGCTCCATAGCTGACGTTGATGACGGGCGTTGAGTAGTTAACCATGGACGACTCCAGAACCCGGGACAAGCCATCTCGAAGATTATCAGTAATATTTGTCACCCAGGACTGCCCCACAGTAGACCCCACCAACGCACAAAAAACTATAACACGCCACATTTTTAACCGGCGCAACCACTCCTTCAAAGCAACATTATCACTGCACTCTCCTTAATTCACGGGATAAACTATTTGTTTGCAAAACAAACAGACAAATATACCCGTACTATAAATAAAAACAGAGATCGGGTCGATACTCGATAAACACGTCTGAAAATGGTGTACGGAAACGAGTTTTAAATAGGCACTTAAGAGAAAAAGTGTTTAGTTTGTACCAAGCACGATTTATGTTAAGATTTACATATTTAACAATAAACCTATTTATAACAAAATTTAGACACAATAGATAAATTTACGCCCGACACGAACGGCGAGAAACTGCATCTGATTTATTTTGTCAGTTGCCAGTTATGCCGGGACAAAGCACAGACTACTACTAAACATAGAATAAAAATACTTTTTCCTACAGAATATATATGGTTCACACAGATCTAGAACCACAGAATTCTTTTATTGTTTATAATATATTTTGTTCCGATATTAAACAAATTATAACGGTTACCGTGTTATTTTTGCTACTTACAATGAATGCTTAATTAATATGCTATTTTGACACCGATAATTTATTGTATTTAACCTTGTTAATGTAGCAACTGATAATGTAGTAATATAACTAGGTATATAATAACACTTTTATCTGATTTTTTATTACGTAGAAATTACAATTCTGACATTTCATAAGTGTTGCTACTAAATAAGTTCTCCACCGAATAAAGGGACAAATTTGACTTATTTGAGGACATTCAAAAAAAATGCTACGTATTTTTTATGTTTTACCTACAAAAAGGTAAATCTAAATATTTACTTACTAATTAAGTGAGGGCCAGCGGTGGATTCCAAAAAAACCAAAATATATTAATATTACTTTAATTAATTACTTTTACAAATAATAAACTTAACTAAATACAATTATTTAATCGGCCCGATATTAGGTGCACGATAAATATATTATATAATAAACTTAACTACTTGAGACTTGACCGGTCCGATATGAGGTATCCGATCAAAAAGCTCCTGGTTCTCTTGTCCCTTTCCTTATATATAGCGTAGTTTCGTAAGAGGTGACTTGTATTGGGTATGCGGGGCAAAGGGAGTGCAATGAATATGTAACATCTCCCCCGTAAGATGAGCAACTATTTGCTATTGATGTCTATAGCAAAAGTTGCGGCTCGAAGTTCTTGCGCAGACATGTTCTTATTATCCGTTTTTGAAATCGGCTTCGAAGATGTATTTCGGCGATATCGGAGTACGAAGAAAAGTACAGCTGCGCCCAGGAGTGTGGTCATAGCGAAGTACAAAGGAATCGTTGTGTGGTATATTATGTTTGATGAATCATATGTTTCCGCCGGTGCTTTCATTGTAATTCCATTTTGCATATTGTGTAACTTCGTGAGATCGATTGAATTAAGTTGGACACCTGGTTGATTTTGTTGAATGATGTTGTCCATTCGAGGAAAATTAATGATTTCGACACCGCTTCCTTTAACTCGGTCGTCGATGTTGGTGGCCGTAATTTCTGAGGATTTTAACATACATGATTTAGGTATTGTTGCGAAATAGCTGCCGTGAAGTATTTCATATTTTTCGTGGGAACAGACGAGTTGAACTTTTGTAGGTTTCGGGAATGATATTATATAATGCTGACTGTCTAGTTCCGTAAGAGCTTCTTTATACATAGTAATAGGCGTTGAGGAACATGATTTGTCTATTTCTTGAGAATGAATAATTTCGTAGATGCAGTCCTTTTTGGTCTTCATTTGATGACGTAGTTTTTGCTCGCATATGTGCCACATATGCATTTCGACGATGGTGGCACCTTTTGTCATCGATTTCTGGATGCGCCGTGTGTGGTCCGCTGTCCTCGGTTCTTGTGAATCGTCGATTAAAACTTGGAAGTCTATTAGTTCGCGTACTCTACGTAGGCGATCTACGGAGTATATTACTTAGTACGCGCACTGACTCGACGATCCTACCGACTGCGCCAATTAAGTGAGGGCCAGCGGTGGATTCCAAAAAAAAACAAAATATATTAATATTACTTTAATTAATTACTTTTACAAATAATAAACTTAACTAAATACAATTATTTAATCGGCCCGATATTAGGTGCACGATAAATATATTATATAATAAACTTAACTACTTGAGACTTGACCGGTCCGATATGAGGTATCCGATCAAAAAGCTCCTGGTTCTCTTGTCCCTTTCCTTATATATAGCGTAGTTTCGTAAGAGGTGACTTGTATTGGGTATGCGGGGCAAAGGGAGTGCAATGAATATGTAACATACTCAATTACCTAATACAAAAATAACAAATATATCAATATTTCAAACAATATATCGAAAAAACTTTAATTACTTTATTTTATTCTTTAGCTGGCATCACATCAATTCCAGGTTTAGTAAACCTTTAAAAAAAATTTATCTTTATTTGTGCGTTTTTACTGTTTGTGGTGAAAAGGGTACGTCACTTATCACTCGCCTTTAAACCACTGACACTGACTGACTTTTAAACAATGGATATGTTAACGTAAAATTGTAAACACCGTTAGATTGTAATCTATCTCGCGAGATTATAAACTGTCGAAAGATTGTGAACCTCAGCGTACTGCTTACAATTTAACGTATTATTATTCGGTAGATTATAATCTATCGAAGTGAAACCGTCAAATTGTGAAACGCATCGCACCTCGCGCGCTGATTGGTTGAACGGAATATGCCCCGCGCCACCATATTTGTTTGTTAATCCGATTGTTGTCGAATGTAAATGGATTGTTTTGATGAATGTAAATTGATGTCGTGTTGAAAGTAACTCACAGCTTTAGAATTAGTTATATGAAATTGTTGGGAAGTAAAATTAATTCTTCATTCATCAAAACAATCCATTAACATTCGACAACAATCGAATTAACAAACAAATATGGTGGCACGGGGCATATTCCGTTCAACCAATCAGCGCGCGAGGTGCTATCCGTTTCACAATTTGACGGTTTCACTTCGATAGATTATAATCTACCGAATAATAATACGTTAAATTGTAAGCAGTACGTTCAGTTCACAATCTTTCGACAGTTTACAATCTCGCGAGATAGATTACAATGTAACGGTGTTTACAATTTTACGGTGACAGATACATTGGGCGTGTTTGGCCGAAGTAAGTACTTACTAAATTTAGTAAGTCACTTACTATGCTTACAAAATTTTCGGCCGGGACACAAAATAAGTGCTAACGCAGTAAGTATGGCTTAATATACGACGCCATTTTGCTTATTGTTGATGTAAACAAAACGGACAGGAACAGACCTGTCATTGTTCAGATATGTACGGGATATGACATAAACCGGTGTTTTGTGTTATGTTAATAAGCCAGTAAGTCTGTCCTGGCCGAAAAGCGCTACAGTCAGCTTGTAAGACTTTAATTTTTTTATGCTTACTGGCTTACTAAGTTTAGTAAGTACTTACTTCGGCCAAACACGCCCATTAACTAACAATTAAATGTATGTATTGACTCAGATGTAGACTCGTATTGAAATTAAAAAATTATAGCTGTCAGAATTCTACGAAATTAACAATCAAAGTATAATAATAAGTCCTAGGAGAAGATAATGATTATTTAATTGATATTTATATATTTTTATTTAATGTATATTTACATATTTACAATAATATCTAATTTGTTAAAATTGCATTTCGGATCAAGAGCAATATATAATAAATTTTTAGACTTAATATTAATCAAAAAAATGGTATGATTTCTAGTAATAATAAAATAATCCTGCTAATAGCCAACATGGTAGTCTGTTTCGGTGGGTGTTACATCCTATAAAAGGATAAGTTTGGAAAGGTTTCCTTATCTAGTAAAGTTTTCATACTTTTATCTACAGACAATGTGTCTAATATTTATTTTTTCACTTAAAAGATAAACATTTTTTTAAGTTTATTAACATAGCCTATAGGAAATAATAAATGTATCAATTGATTGAATCGTCTAGCACTAACATCCACTATATTACTAGACGACTCTTAAATCTTTATACGATTTCTTCGCGCTTTACCGATTTCTTCAACAACGCACTCGTTTCATTCTCAGCTTCCGGATCTCTGGTAGACACAGCATCTAATGCCTCCTGTACCCTTGTGACCTTTAATGACCGTTTATCAATGCCAGACACTGTTTCCAACCACTTAATCGAGTCTTTTGATGCGTTATAGAATACCAATAGCTGGTCGTTTTCTTGAAACTTTTTTAGTAACCGTGATAAAACCTGAGAATGAAAGAGACGGAAGATGTTTTAATGACGCAGAGACAATTACGGATAGATGATAACATTCATTGATAGTTTTCTTTTTATATATTGTGTCAATTATCTAGCGAGCAATTAAAATTTTCGTAAAGAAGAAATTATATCTACAATTTTATTGTAATTTCAAACAGCGGAATTTGTTAAAAATTCAAGTAACTAATGTATATTTTTAAAAAAATTACTTAATTTTTATATAGAAATACCTCTGTAGCAGTATAGTCGCATAACGTGATGGCCGAGCACTCAATAAGTACGGGTAATCGCGCGGTCGCACTATTTATTACTAACGCGGCAAAACGTTCGGCGTTTGCGTACACTAGTGCACGACGTACGGAAACACGAATTACGTCTGTGGTGTTTGTCTGTAATGGAAAAACATAAACAAAAGTACGACATTTTGTTTTAATAATAACATCCTAGCTGTTTTATTTATTTACATTAGCTGAGAGGAATTAAATTAGAAGAAGAAATGTCGTTGTATTCTAAGTCATAGGTCCATATTGTAATCTCTCTCATACAGAAAAAACGGTTTGACAGCTCTTAAAATTAGATTTAAATTTAATTGATTATCTAGATTATGGGCCTAAGACCACCATCTAGATTGGCATATCCAAACCTGATTGATCAAATCTAATTATAAAGAGTTCAAATGTCTAGCGCTAACGCGCCTTGCGAGAGCACGTCAGTATTTCGATAGTGCTTAGAAAATGGACGTAGAAGAAGCTATTATTTTGTGGTTATATTACATATCTTGAGATTCACTTCATTTTGAACTGAATACGAAAACAAATCACAAAAAATATCGAAACAGTTAACGGACGTTACATACCTATCAAAGCGCGCGTTCGCCTGCGTTTAGAGACTTATTCTCTGAGCGCCGCGTCAACGCTCGCAGACGCGCGTTAACGCGCGATCATGTGATCGGGTGTACGTAAATACCACGATGTCTAGTCGCCTAGTCTACGCTAGTAGAAAATAGTTTAAATTTTGCCATCTGAACATGGACTAATTGTTTTATAATTTAAAATTATTTATATTCAATTTTTCTCACACATAACAAGCCAAAGAATAGTTTTATAAATTTGCGCGAGTATCATCTAGCTTTTGCTAGGACAAACCATAGTACCTTAATTTGTGTAATATCAACAGGCGTTTGAAGCACATCGCGTATGAGAAAAGCCAGTCCAGTAAGGGCACCAACAAGTATTGACAATTCAAGGTTTTTCCAAATACCCGCTCCAAAAGTGAGTGTATAAAGAACTAATTCACGTTTGCTGCTGTTCCATAGTTTACCTATAATGTTAATGTCAACCTGGAACACACCAACAAGCATTGCTTTTTACATGCCTAATGATTGATTTTCATAACATTTTACTCCATAAAAATCATTTATTCATTTAGATAACACAATGTATGAACGTCAAAAAGAAATAGATATTAAATGCTACTAATTTTATATTTACTGCTAGTTCTCAAATAAAGGGTGTAGAACGGAAGAGAAGAACTGGCAATAAACTCTCCGCCACTCTTTTTATAGCTGACTCTTTTTAAGTCATTGAGACAACGTCACTAAACTTTATCATAATATGTATGTTATTCACCACTAGATAGACATAGACTGAACTTGTGGTTAACATAGTTTAAAAAAAAAATGTGGTTTTAATATATTTTTGAAGGTAGGTAAGTAAGGCTCGTATATTGGTAAGAATTGTTAGTGTCTTTTGCTGTTAAAACAAACATTCCTCTACCACAATCTTAGCCATTTCCAGGCAATATATGAAATGTAAGATGAGCCTCCTGCCCGTGTGTTATACAAAAAAAATCAGGTCTACCTATTTAACACAGTCAATATTATAATTTATATACGGCATAATCATGAATTCGAAGTCCTCCCAGACGAAATTATCAGGAGGATTGTTTTTAGATACCAACCATAAAAACGACAGCACAGATAAGAACAGACGATAAGCAGGCTTTCGGTATGAAGAAGAAGTACTGTGTAAGGAAGTTAAGAGCCAGCAACGTGATGATACCTAGAAGGGAATGAGATCATGAGAATGTAATTCTATAATCCCTACGTCCCTATATTATCTACTTATATTAAGCTTAGATATCTGCAGAGTTTTTTATTGAAGTGAGCGTGATGGGATATTCACCCACATACATACGTACATATGAAACTTCTCAATATAGTTTCGTTGACAGGCATATTGTTCATAGCACGTGGTGCTACAAGCTTTTAAGATCTGGGCCTTTTTTCTAATATGAAAGTAGGTGATCAGCCTTCTGTGCCTGACATGTGCAGTCAACTTTTTGGGTAATGCCAGTTTTTCTCGCGATATTTCCTTCATAAGAGGTAGTGTTAAATGCGCATTCTGTCAAAAAGTTAATTGGTGCACAGCCGTCGATCGAAGTTAGGATCTTAGGTAAGAGAGTCTTAAGTATCTAAATGAAGTATCTAAATTTGTATACAAACCTGAATATAATCCCGCTGCAGGAGTCCTCACACCTGAGGAATGAGAAACAGCGGAACGAGTGAAGGCTCCACACGAAGGCATCGCGTGAACCAACGAACCCGCTACGTTACAAAGTCCTAATGTTACCATTTCCTGTGTTGCGTCTACTCTACCTCCAGGTGCTGAAAATATATTTAATTCCTTTCTGTCGCTAAAGTTCTTCTAAACCTCATCAATTATAGAAATCTTATGCATTGATTGGGTTCTTTAAATCTAAAAAAAAAAACAGCTCGTCATCCGAGTATAAAACATTTAAAATAATATTAATTCGTATAGATTAGAACGCGTCAACAATTGTTGACAACAAAGGTTGAATTTGGTCGGAATAGTTTCCGTTTTTAAAACAAATCTATAAGTCCATTGTTACATTGAGACTTCATACTTACAAAATGCTTTAGCAATAGCGATATTTGCCAAGACCATGACAACAGGTGTTACTATCACAGCGGATCCTAAGTAGTCCATCATGCCCATGAAACCAACGGTTTGGTTACCGATCACCGTGCTGAATGGTGGCAGACTTAATTGAGGCAGACCTGGCTCCACTCGACCTGCAACATTTTACATTCAGAGTGCTTTGATTTAGATTTACATTCTTAACTGGGAGGGTTCGTTCAAGAGACTTCAATATTAATAAATATTTTTTTAGGCAGCAAGTGAGTCCGGTTTTCTCTTTTATATCATATGGTACCAGGGTTCCGTAGGTGTTGAATATGTTTAGTATTATAATTTTGTTTCATTGTCATTTTTTTTTATAGAACAGGGGAAAAACGGGTATTCCACCAGATTCTCTCACCTTTCAATTCGATTCATTAACACTTCGTTGCCAGTATACAGAAATATACTACAATTAAAATAATTAATTAAAAAGGAGAGCAACTGGCGGCCTTATCGCTTTCGAGCGATCTCTTCCAGGTAACCACTGTGAGAAAGAAAAATTAGATAAAATGAGCGCTGATGTTAAGTGATACCGTCGCACATAGCCTCAATGCCAGAGGACTCACGAATGCGTTACCGACCTTTTAAGAATTCGAATGGGGAAACGAATCGGGATTACTTCAACGGGTAGCTGGTTCCACATCATAATGGTGCGCGGAAAATCCGCCAATAACGCTCAGTTGTGGAACGAACGTCGAGGTGATACGTGGGGGAAATTTCGTATTCTGTCTCGACATCCGATAACGAAATTGTAATAAATTGTTTTATACGACAAAGCAAGAATAATCAAAAAACCAAAATCATCGTATGTTAGTGTATATAGGAATATTAAATCGAACAAGATTTTTTTATTCATTTCCACCTATACATCAATCAAGCCCATTCACAGCGACATTTTTTCCTGCTTAACAGATACATATAATGAATTTACCAATGTCTAAAGCACATTTTGTCACATCATTACTCTATTTGAGGTTTATGTGACGTCACTTTTACGATAAAAGTTTTACCCGATAGTTTGAAAAGCGGGTTCTCAGCGTTGTAAGTACAGAAGGCGACCGTAGAAGCTATGCAGACCACGAGAGCATTGCGTGCAATTGATATCAGCCATAACGCTTTCTTCAGTTTATACCTCTTATGGTTGACTTTGATATCTTTGAATTTCTGAAACGAAAAAATATTATGTTGTATTAAATTCAGTGCCAAGTAATAATAATAATAAATAGTTTATTTGATAAGAAAGTGGTACCAAGTTATAAAAAAAATGAAAAATCAGGCATATTAAAATAGACATGTACTCATAGTACTGCAGTGCTCATGATGCGGTTAAGATACGATACTTTTGGAATATGAAATAAAATAACGTCTAAATAAATAAAACTTAAAATATATTTAGATATTTGAAAGTAAATTTATTTAAAATCAGATTCAGTAGTTCTTTGAATGTATAATTATTAAATCCGATGACAATAACTCTAACTAATCCTTTATATATAAAACGTAAAAAGCACATATGTATTATATACTGCTCAAAACAATTAGCGGAACAAGATTTATCTCCTTTCTATTGCTTAAACTAAAATTAGATTTAAATTAACTTGTACGCTATTTTTTACCTTGTTAATTTGTTAATTACTACAATTAATAAAAAAAATCAATTTGTATTTTTTTTATTAAAAAAAAATTAAAATGTGCATTGTAGACGAAAAACTAATTGGTGATAAAAAAGGTCCACCAAAGAAATATTCTTATATCGTTTGAATATTCGTCTTTAGTGACTTTCAGTAACGTGTGTGGCCTCCATGAGCCCTAATCACGGCTTGACAACGACGCGGCATGCTTCGTATGATCCTCCGAATATCTTCTTGTGGAATTCGCTCCCATTCTTCAATCAACGCTTCAGCTGCTGCAGTGTTTGAGGTGCAATCGGACGCTTCCGGATGCGCCTGTCAAGCAAGTCCCAAATGTGTTCAATTGGATTTAGGTCAGGGCTCATGGAAGGCCACTCCATTACACGGATTTCCTGCTGTCGTAAGTAATCTGACGTGATGGCTGCAGTATGCGGCCTGGCATTATCTTGCATTAAAAGAAAATCTGGGCCCATACCATATGCTGCGGGCCAAACATGATCTTCGAGCACATTTTCAATGTAAGTTTGAGCACACAAGCGCCCGGGAACAACGACGAGATCTGTGCGCTCGTCCAAACTAACTCCGCCCCAAACCATCACAGAGCCACATCCAAATTTGTCATATTCTTGGACTGCTGCTGCACTGTATCGCTCGCCTGGGCGTCTGTAAACACGGAGACGACCATCGCAACGTGTTAGACGGAATCGTGATTCGTCAGTAAAAAGCACTGGCCTCCAATGTCGAAGTTACCAATTAGCGTGATTTGCGCGAACTGTCGGCGAGCTTGTCTATGTTGAATTGTTAGACGCACAGCCCGAACTGGTCGGCGTGATCTCAAATTGGCTACCAAACAACTTATTTCTTACCGTCTGGTCGGAAATTTCTACACCAGTAGCCGTCCTTAGTGTATTTTGTAGATCTCTTGCAGTTGTGGTGCGGTTACGTAAAGCACAGTTGACGATGTAGCGATCTTGCAAAAGTGTATTTTTTCTCTTTCGACCTTGACCACGCCTTCGTGAGTATTCTCCCGTCTCACGGTATCGCTTCCAAAGTCTGTAGATAACAGAAGGGGCTACTCCTAGATCATTTCCTACATAACGCATAGTTCGACCCTCTTCAAGCAAAGCGATAGCTCGGGAGACATGCAATTCAGTCAGATCTGGCATTATGACCTAAACTCACTCGCTTCAATGAATAACAATACTCAAAAGGCTCACTTCAATTTCTATTAATACTCAAAAGATTGAAAAAAACTACTTAAAATGTGTTTTCTGTGATTAGAAAGTAATGAAAATTCAAAGACGTCACTTTGTTTTTCGTCTACAATGCACATTTTAATTTTTTTTTAATAAAAAAATACAAATTGATTTTTTTTATTAATTGTAGTAATTAACAAATTAACAAGGTAAAAAATAGCGTACAAGTTAATTTAAATCTAATTTTAGTTTAAGCAATAGAAAGGAGAAAAATCTTGTTCCGCTAATTGTTTTGAGCAGTATATAAACGTAACATTTCTTTAGAATATTTGACTGTGTTCAGAAGTAGTATAAATCGAAATCATACCCTCAATAAAAGTAGTACTGTGCAGCACGCAGCACTCAATGCGCAGTCGTTAAATCGAATTTGTCCCCAGTTTTGCGATATAAGAGAAACGTTTTCCATCACAGTTTCCGCAATAAAACTGAGTCCTAGTAACCCCTTCACCTGCGATGCTATGATGGTAACAGCCGTCGCCGATGTGAATCCACTGGTAACGGAAGGCGATATTAAATCCACCAAGAAACCTGGAATTCGGAATATGGCATTGATTTAAAGTGGTACTGAGTGCGTAATGATTGATGAATTAAAAATTACAAAATTATTAACAAGTTTAATAGAAGCATTCATAATGTGCATGTGTATTTTATAAATCATCTTTGAAGTATATTGGAATTTTGTAGTTTTTTGCCAGATAAAAAAAAAAAATTTATTGCATTTTAGTGTTGTTAGTTTTTATATCCTCTCGTTGTACACGTACCGAGGTCAAGTAGAAAAGTAAGTAAATTTCTTCATTTATGTGTTTGTATTACTTCTAATTGTATTAAATTTATTTTGTTAATATGTCAGAACTTTTTAATATAAATTAAGGTGCGAAAATTTCATACGGTTTTAATGCAGGTTCGAATCACGTAATTAAAAGTTTAAAAACGTATCTCGCTGTTTCCTTAAATCGTTACCTAGATATGGGCATCTTACTTCAGATATTTCCCTACGTATTATAAAAAGAAGACCCTGGCCGCGGCCGTCTATAAGAACGCCATTAACTCAAAAAACTACTATACGGATTTTGGTGTCGTTTACCACTGTAGATAATTTAGATAGTATGGTTTCTAAGAAAGTATATAATATATATATTGTTGAAGAGATCGCAAAATATATTGTCCAAATACACGAATACCACTCGAATAATAGGTATTTGAATAAGCAACAGTTTTACCATTCAATGTTTTAGAAGTTTTAATGTAGGTAGGTATCTACTAATTATCTTCTTGCCTGCTCTGCTCTTGACTTGCAAACTGGTAGTAAATGTAAATTTAGAATCAATTTAACTTTTTTTCTGTTCATAAGTGTACTTGTTTACCTATATGAATATAAGTTATTTTGAGTTTATATTATGTTAATATATCTTATATTAGGTCCTTACATATGAAATTGACGTATTTCGTACTGGCCACTTTAATCACGATGTTCTCCTCTTTGGTAAGGAATTCCAAATTCAAATTTGTACAGCTATTTACTCATGTAATTGTGCTTCGATGACCGTCATTCATTTGTTTTTTTCTTCTGTTTTTTTTCTGTTTGCGTCACTTATTTTACAAAATGGAAAACTTAAAGTATCGCATTATTTACGAGTACGAGTTCCGCCGTGGCACTAGTGCTGCGGAAACGACTCGAAGGGTGAATGATGTGAATGGCGGTCATGTAGCAAAAGAAAACACAGTTCGTTTTTGGTTCCAACGTTTTCGTTCCGGAAATTCCGACCTGCAGAACAAGCCCCGTGGACGGCCTGAGACCCAAATTGATAATGAAGTATTGAAGGCTATTGTGGAAGCGGATCCATCGCAAACCACGTCCGAGTTAGCTGCAGGCTGCGGTGTTAGTGATAAAACTGTTTTAATTCACTTGAAGCAAATTGGGAAGATTAAAAAGCTTGAAAGATGGGTACCTCACGAATTGACTGAAGCAAACCGGTAAACGCGCGTCGACTGCTGCGTTACATTACTGAACCGGCACAATAATGAAGGTATTTTAAACCGAATCATTACCTGTGATGAAAAATGGATTCTTTACGATAATCGGAAGCGCTCAGCGCAATGGTTGGATCCTGGCCAGCCAGCCAAATCCTGCCCCAAGCGATAATTAACCCCAAAAAAGTTACTTGTAAGCGTTTGGTGGACTAGTGCAATGGTATTGTTCATTGCAGTTTTCTCAAATCTGGCCAGACTATTACGGCTGATGTCTATTGTCAGCAATTGCAAACCATGATGGAAAAGCTAGCGGCTAAACAACCTAGGCTGGTTACCATTTTTTTCGAAATTTGGACAACTTCTTGCAAGGGAAAAAATTTAACTCTGATGGGGCAGTCCAAATCGCCTTCACAGATTTTATTGATTCCCGTCCGACTGGTTTTTTTAGTAAAGGGATCAATGAACTACCTATGAGATGGCAAAAGTGCATAGAAAACAATGGTTCATAATTTGATTAATTAAATATATTATATTTAAAAATATTCGACTTTTTGTTCCTCCCATACAAAACGCTAATTTCATATGTAAGGACCTAATATTTTAACTTACCCAGTCGCAATAAGCCCATGACGAACACGACACATCCAGACAGAAAGGCCAATAGAATCACAAAGTCCACTGGCAGCCCTCGGCAGGTCTGCAGCGTCATGAGAGCCATGAGACTTGTGGGGCCGATCGATACTTCCTTAACCGTACCCAGGAACATGTAGAGGATTGTACCTAGATTTAGATAGCATATTAATTGCTAAATTATAATTAATTATTTCTGTAAAGTATCTAACTTTAAATCGTTTTAAATTCGTTATCCGAAGTTTTACGAACCTTTATGAAATTGTGTGACGTTTCTAAATTTAAATGCCAGCGATAAGAAAATTATTTAAAAGATATTTAAAGCTTATAGGGGATCAAAAATACTTCGATATAAATTGTCTTGCAACGAAAAAATATTACACACCCAAACATACCCATAAACCCCGAATACAGTCCATACTGGACCGGTAAATTAGCGAGCGAGGCATAAGCTATACTCTGCGGTACTAGCGTCAAACCCAGGGTGATACCAGCAATGAGGTCCGCTACAGCTTTCGTCTGATCATACTTCGGGGCCCACTCCAAAATTGGTAATCGTTTCTTGCAAAACGCATACCACCCCCCCGAAGAACTCCTCTTCGGTAAAGGTATGCCTTCTTCCATATCCACGTTCACGCGCTTTGCAATTATTAACAGCACTGACACTATCTATGAGAAAACCCAGCTTAAGCAAATGAGATAGTGGTTCCTTCGTGACCTTTACTACCTCATTATGAGTTTATATTTTAAACAAATGTCTTATTATACTAATTTGTTTAAGATAGAAGCAATTGTTTGAATAGCTGTATTTTCGCACTCGCTCATCATGTATTGTGATGAAAGCTTACTTTAGAAAAAATTATATAAATTACATCGTATTTTTCTTTACCTTTACTTTCCCCGAAATGATTTATGATTATAAAAATTAATTTTGATTTTGATTCTTTTGAATTTATTTATCATTTAAAATTTATTTATGTACATTGAAATAAAATTTATGATTGGAATTTAAATTTAAGGATTATTAATAGTAATATTTTATTTTTTTACTGCATGCACATATTATGTAATAATTAATCATATGATATACTTGTTAAATATATTATTCATTATGGAAATAAAGAGGCTATAATAATAATAATTCTTTAACCATTTAAATTTGTTGCTTTAAAAATATCCATATAACAATAATGGTAATTTATGAAAATAAAACAGTTTTCAAATACCTGTCATATTTTTACCTACATAATTTCAGTATTATTTACCTAGATAAGTATACATATCCTATCCAGAAATGCTGAACTGATATTTATAGACTGTTGCCTAAGTTTAGAACATGGTATGTTCAATGTCAATCAAACGTGATATAACTTTTCCGAGAAATGTGTGGCCAAACATACACTTACGAAATGTGCTTGGATGTGTTACATGTCCATTGCAATCCCTTTGCCCCGCATAACCAATACCTGCACCCCTCTTACGCAATACCATTATAAAAGGAAATGGACAACAGAGACCAGCAGCTTTTGATGGGATACCTCACATCGGAGCGGTCAATTCTCATCTAGTAATAAATCTATAATATAGATTTAGATTATTGATCGTACATATCGGGCCGATTTAATTTTCATATTTAGTTAAGTCTCAATTATTGTACTAGTAATTAATTAAAGTAATTACTTAATTGATGCCTAAATAAATGGTAATACTCAAATATTATTCAACAATATACATGCCGACTGATAACCTCCTTCATTAAAGTCGGTTATTATACTAGTATCTTACATAAGTGAAGTGAGTGAAGAATATAATAATTGGGTTCAACGACCAAATTACTAGTCGTATTATGTTTGAATGAATAAAAACATCTGCGAGGGATGAGATTCTGAAAATACTTCTTAAATTTCCCGAAAGGTATGTGAAGGTTATTTTCTACAAAGACATAAAGGATTAAGTCACATTAATCAATATTAAAAGAAATTACAACTCGTTTAAATACTCCTGCTTTGACTGTGTTAAAAGGCAGTTTGATAAATTTTAATTCAGAATAAATTATTATACAATTTTGGTAATAATACATAGCATTATAACTCTATCAAGTGTAATGTTTGTAAATGTGTTGTGTAACGACAAAACATAGCTTTGTCTCCCTACATACAGCATACTCATATATTTACGAGGGGAGGTCCAAAAGTTCGTGGAATGGAGGGGATGGAGTGGGGATAGGGGCGCTCGCTTAGTGTCATACTAATTGAGGACTCATAATTAGTATATAAATGGAGTTTCAGCCCTATTGCGTCATTCGTTTACGAACACTCGCCTGCTAAACACGTCAATCCGGAAGAAAACTGAAACTATGGAGAAAATTGAACACCGTGCTGTCATTAAATTCCTTACCAAGCAAGGAAAGAACGCTCAGACCATTTTGAATGAAATGGAAACTGTTTACGGGGAACAGTGCCCTAGTAAATCAATGATTTACAAATGGCATGGTCTTTTTAAACATGGTCGGGAGTCGATTGAAGACGACCCCCGCTCAGGAAGGCCAGTTGAGGCCACCACATCAGACATCGTCGAAAAAGTGGAAAAAATTGTACTGGAGGACACCCGTTTGAAGAAAAAACAGTTATCTGCATTAGTTGGAGTATCAGATACCACAATTTTGCGAATCCTACATGACCACCTGGGTATGACAAAAGTCAGTGCAAGATGGGTACCGAGAATGCTCACGCCGCTTCAAAAACAGCAGCGCGTCGAAGCGTCAAAACATTTTTTGGAGTTGTGTAGCGACGATCCTGGATCGATTTTGGAGCGAATTGTTACCGGCGATGAAACATGGGTTCATCACTTCGAGCCTGAGTCCAAACAAGAGTCCATGCAATGGCATAAAAAGGGGACACCACCGCCAAAGAAATTCAAAGTGTCGGAGTCGGCTGGAAAGTTGATGGCTACTGTTTTTTGGGATTGTGAGGGGATAATACTGATTGATTATAAAGAAAAGGGCAAGACCATAACCGGAGAATACTACGCAACAATACTAGAAAAATTAAAGGATGCCATCAAAGAAAAACGTCGGGGAAAATTGACCAAAGGTGTGTTGCTCTTGCAAGACAACGCGCCGGTTCACAAGAGCAAAGTTGCAATGGCTGCTCTACACACGCATGGCTTCGAATCACTAGTCCACCCACCCTATAGTCCAGATCTGGCCCCAAGTGATTTTTATTTGTTCCCCAATTTAAAAAAAGACTTAAGGGGAAGGAAATTTTCCGACGACAATGAGGTAAAGGAGGCAATTTTGGCTCATTTTCAGGGAAAAGATAAAAAATATTTTTACGATGGTTTAGAAAAATTAATTCATAGATCTAATAAATGTATTCAGCTTAAGGGTGATTATATTGAAAAGGAAAAATAAATTTACTGTTTCATTTTTACTAAAACCCTTTCATTCCACGAACTTTTGGACCTCCCCTCGTATATATATTTACTAGCAGACCGGCCAAGCGTTGCTGTGGCTAAAGTTTTTGTTATATTACATATTAGCAAACTATTCAAGGGAAACGGTAAGAGAACACCACCATGCTTTTTTTGGTGGTTATGCCATTAATTGCCAGAAAACGATGTGTAAATTATTATATTGCCGTCTTTTTCTAAAGCATCTTTGCATTAAGATAACTGCAATTGAAAACGCACCTTATCTGCTAAAAGCAAATCTTTGATAACAAATTTACATATTAAAGCTGTTTACTATCCGGTATTATATATCTGTTACAAAAAACAATGTCGTGGCACTATCGTAGACTTCGTCATAAGACCTACTATTTAATAAGATGACGATTGTAGAAGCTTCTTTATGAAATGGCTCGTATTTAAATTAAATTAGTGTTCCAATCAGTTTATATTACAATACAACACAGTTTATATTACCCATTACCAGCTGGTGTATTCCTGTTAGGTGCAATATTAGGTCTCACAAGGGTAAAGTTATCTAAGCGTTTGTGTCTCATAAGGTCAATCAATATAAATATATTAATTTATAGCGACACACTAGATCACTTCATGGTAGGGTTAACAGCAGTTAATTTCATGTTTTAGTTCGTAACTAAAACATGAAATTAAAATAGAAATTAAAAAACACTCATTTCATACCAATATATTTATAAAACCAATTAATATTTTTTTTAAATGCACCATATTAGAATAACTTACATATAGTACGTCAGGTACTACAACGATCTAGAATCTTGAGGATTCTAATAAATTACAAAATACAATTCAAATAAACTATAAAAGCTATCAACGATATTAATAAATTAAGTTTCTCACGACATTAAAAGGGAACGAATCCATTACTATTCTAGAAGTTTACTTAACTTTCTTCATTATTATATCTATCTGTTCGTCTATGCGTGGACTCCTACCCCTGAAACAGATTAATATTTTAATTTACCAGTTAAAGTTGAGCCGTGTTGGCCTAGTGGCTTCATCGTGCGACTGTCATCCCGGTCGTAGTTTCGATCCCCCGCTGTGAACCAATGTACTTTCTTTCTATGTGCGCATTAAACATTCGCTCGAACAGTGAAGTAAAACAACGAGAGGAAACCGGCTAGCTTTAGACCCGAAAAGTCGACGGCGTGTGTCGGGCACAGGAGGCTGATCAACTACTTGCGTATTAGATTGACAAATGATCAAGAAACAGATACAGAAATCTGAGGCCCAGACCTAAAAAGGTTATAGCGCCACTGTTTTTTATATCAGTAGAATAGATAAATAAGAGAGGACTTTGTCTAAATTTGTATAACCGGTACTGCCACATCCAGTACAAGACATGTGACAGTGTGTGATATTTAAAATTTAGTACAAACCTGTAGCCACTAGGATCTGGTCCAACAATAGCAATAAGTTGTGGCACTTCAGACGAATGTTGGGCCAGTCGGGCTAAGGCTGTGAGAGTCCTCCACAAATGTTCCTCAGCCGGTTCGTACTGCGTTAGCTGTAGGGCCGCCATCGCCAATTCTACGCATACCTCGTCGAATACCTGTGGACAAACGGATTCGCAGGAGATATCTTTGTTTAAAGCTAGGCCTAATCTATGTTATCAGAGAAGGCTATTAAGTAGTAACTTATGACTGCGATATAACATAACCTCGTGGCTTGATACAGCAACCAGGCTTGTTCCGCTTAAAGGAAATAATTGTTTGACAGAACAGTGTTCGCATAGTGGCTCCAGCAAGCGACTCTTAGCCTTCATATCATAGGTTCAAACCCCAGCTGCCACCCGCCCGGAGCAGTGGTCTGGACTGGACACCAATGGACTATCTGTCTTTGTCGCATTTAACTCTCGCTCGTCCGGTGAAGGTAAACATCAAGAGAAAACCGGCATGCCTTAGACCCCTAAAGTCGACGGCGTATGTCAGGAACAGAAGGCTGATCAGCTATTTGCTTATTAAAAAAAACAAATGATTACGAAACAGTTGCACAAATCTGGCTTCGCAAAGGTCCCGAACTAGGAACTCGTGTGAGTAACAATTTATAACAATTCACTCATGGAATGTGGAAAAATGTCTTTATCAACTAAAATTGGAACATTTTCGGTAGCAATGCCTATTTAATTAACTAAGTAAATAATGTCAGAGCGTCCTCAAATTTCGTAAATACTTTATAACTAATCTTATAAGCGCGTTAAACAATTAAATATAATTTGGATCGTAAAACTGTTTTGAAGTTAAAAAATTGATTTTGTACTGTTTAATTATGGACAATAACATACAATATATTTTCATTATACAATTCAACACTGTATGAAAATCCGAATTTCAAGAAATACTTTAAAATATTCTACACATAAATTAAAAATCGATTTTTTTCCAAATTGTTTCGCAATATAAGTCGATGACAGTAAGAATGTAACTCACACTAGGGGACGGTAGCGCTATATATAGCATTGATAGCAACACAACAATAATATAAACAATTAGGTATTTATCGTCACTAACATTTCCCAATAGTATACTTGACGATTTGTTTATGTGGCGAATTAGTTCATGAAATTGTAATGCTAAGGTTATTATTGATTTACACTGATTTGTACAGAATAAATAAAATATGGTAATCAATCTAAAGGCCGAGAGCAACGAAAGAAACCTTATCGCTTATAAACTCTTCCAGACAACCCGTGATAAAAAGTAGCTAAGAGTAACATGAAAAATAAGCAACAAAGTAAACGCAATAATAATATAGAAACATTATAAATTTCGATAGTAATGTAGCATAACATATATATTTAACGTATAACATTATAAGCTGTGAAGGACGTAAAAACACTAGCAAATGTTTGTTTCTTTATATGTCAATGCGGAAAGCCTATAAAATATGCTACTATTTTTACCCCAGACCTCCAATGATCGATAACCAGACTTTGAATTTCAAAATTAATATTCTATTATTAAACCTCTATGTCACAATACTTCTTACTCGTGCTAAGATATAAATGATAAACTAATGTGTTGTTAGACAAATAAAAACAAATATAATTTATAATTACCCACTTTGATAACGTTTGATACAATTGTTTCACGGCCATGGGATTTTTCAAGGTTTCATAACATTTTCGTAGCAGTTTATTTTCTGTATTTCACTACAAAACCTTTGTTTGTGACAATATTTATTTAAATAAGGAGCATTTTTTTATTTAACCTTGAGATGTATACAAAATTACTACATTATTTACACGAGTGCGCTTTTCAGCATCGTGGTAATATTTTACGTCTTATGTTTTGGCTTTCATTTGACAACACCAAGTTAGACTGATACACTCGTCATAGAATCTAGGTTCAAGAATAAGCACGTATTCATACAATGGAAATAAAAAATAAAGGAAAAAATCAATAAAAAGTATTGAAAATATTACCGTAACGAGAGTTAACCACCTAAAGCCTTAAATATGGTAAGGACACCGAAAATCGTCTCAAAGTTCGTTCGACCTGTTCAAAAAAAACCTACAAGGAGGAAATTACAGTCTAGAGCCAAGATCGATAAAGGATATTTTATTTTATTCTTTTATTAGTTAAAATCAGTACAAACTTAGTATCACTGCTGTAGTAAGGTCTCTAAAGATACCGGCAAACATCTTGAACATTAAACAAGGGAGTGGGGGAAAGTTTGCGCAGCGCGGGACACAAACGTCAACTGATTTACCAATCACGCGATCCACACGTCGCTCTCTTGCGCCGCGCAGTCAAGGATATTTGTTCAAGATGTTTGCCGGTATCTGTACTAGAAATTATTGTAGCGACACCTACAATCTGCGCATACAAATCACTACGATAACGTCCTATCCTGAGCAGCGCTAACAAACTTATTCCGACCGCTAAGGATATATTAAACTTCTCGGTCTTAGCCACGGGAGCTTTCGAGCTGACCCGCCAGACGCCAGTGATTAATTTGGTCAAATATTCCCAAGTCCTTGTGATTGGATAAAGAGTATACCATTCGTTCCGTTTTTACTGTAGGTATTTTTATCCCGATGCAAAATGTTACAGTTTGACGTGTCTGTTGTATCGTACCTCAAAACGAATCCACCAATTAGAAAGACGTAGAGATAGTTCTTAAGTGTATTTTTATGAAGATAAGACTATTCAGACGTTTCGTAATCCGCTTTTTATGTAAGCTACGACAAATCTAACACAATGGTTAATTACTTTATTTTTTACGCATGTCTTGCGCACCCTGAATATTATTGTGCATGTGAAACGGTTATATTTAGTTGCACACTGGCTGCATTCACAAGAATTGCATTATCTATAATTAGTTAAAAAAGGGTTTAGGTTTTATGTTTTCTTGTTTTCTTATTATATTAATAAGTTTTCTATTGTATTTGTGTTGTTACTGTAAAAAAATAAATACATTTTCAAAACATATGTTTTCTCCTAACATTTGCAACACCCATTAATGCTGGTACCTTTGTTACTCTGATGATTGATTTCAAAGTTTGTCGGGGATAAATTTTTGATTTATTTATCATTGTGACCTATCACAAACCGAATCTTAATCAACGAGGTTCTGCGTTATCTTGGCAAGAAGACAGTTAGTGCATTTTCGGCAGTACTTAGAAATGAGCTACATAAGCAATTTAGTTAAGATTTTATAAATCATGCAATGAAAACTTGCTTGCAATGTTTCCTTAAATCAGACGATAAGTATTCGGGCCTAAAAATATTTTGGTAAATTTTAGTTATATTAATGTTAATTCCATCAATAGATTTCACAACATTAAACACCTTTAACGGCCAATCTCAATAATTAGAACTTCTTAAATCAGTTATAATTACCCTGGTTCATACATAATATAATATACAATTAAACATTATATATGAAATGAGACAAAGTTAGAGATAGCAAATATTACTTCTCGAAAAATGTGCAAAGTAATTAAAATATTATCTAGATTTCGATTGAGTTTGACTTTTGATTGATTGATGATTGAGTCTTTAGTCCACGTTTAAAAGTCAAAAGAAGGTTTTGTATCAATTTTATAGTCGTTTGTAACTTTTTATAACCCAAAGGACATAGTACATTTATAGAGATCAGCCGTTAGAATACCTTAAACTTGGCAGAGGAAGGTAGTTGCTTGCGAATGTTGCCACCCAAACCCAGCCGCTGCAACATATTTAGCTCTGCAGCTTCTGTTTATGACTTATTCTACGTAATATTGTAAAAAAAGCAAGTGATAAATTTTCTGATCGAAAATCTATACCAATAAAGCTAGAGCAGAGCTTCTTTATTTCGTTGAACGCGCTAATCTAAAATACTACTCCGAATTGACAAAATTATTTTGAAGTAAAACTTGTAATGCGACTTCCAACAAGGTTGCGTTAAACGTTTAACGATCCTGGGGAGGGGGAATAGAAAAAGACAGAGTGAGATGCAGCAGGGAATGCTTCCCTTTTTTCATATCCACATTACGAAGTTTCACTTCTTCCGCGCGGAGGGAATCCACGCACTATTTTTTATTTTGTACAGTTCATTTATTAAGGAACGCTATATAGCAGGAATGTTATTAGGAACATCAATCATAAATGTTGCAATTCAGAAATGAAAAATAAATTGAGGGTACGTATTTTACTTATACTAAGACCACAAATCTTAACTATACTATTTTAGTTCATGTTACCGCGAGTAACCCTTGTGTAAACGACGGATAAAAATTCTGATTGCGATGGCCACATTTTCAAAGAAGTGTAGCACTTTAAGACAAACCATGTATTATTTTTACGTTCAACTTTATTCGCGGTGTTAATTAATAAAAAATGTACTTTACAATGTTGGCTAATGACATAAAACTTTCTGACTATTAACAAACTTCATATTGACATTGATTAATAGGATACTTGAACTTGAAAGGATGTTGTTAATTTGTTGAAACACTTTTTATTACCTATCAGTCTTTTTACGTCATTTTTAAAACATTTTTCTCAAGAGTTAACATCTCTACAGCTTAATTCTGGCTGCCATATAACCAATCAAGAGATTGGTCGAAAAAATATTTTATTGTTATAAAAAAAAATTCAATGTTATAACTTGTATTTAATATACTTGTTTAAGTCTCGTGCATCTCACAATCAGCACAAATATTAATATAACATCACTATATACAAACATTGAATTTTATATGTTAATGAAAATATTACCTATTCCATTGTCTTAAAGTATATTTTCAATTACGTGTGGTAGTATTTGAAAATATGATAAACAAGGCCCTAAGTTAATATTGAACAAGAGAATTATGGATTTCCTTTAACGAATTCAGGAAGTATTCTTATTTCATATAAAGTTATAATCCCAATCCAAGATAACATGAAAATATATTTAAAAAATCATAGGTCCAACAGTTAATCCCATTAACAATTATGCCCGCCTTCCACTGCGATCGGAACGGACCCATTACGGACTCAGCTATACTCGTAACGATGATTTTAATACATTTTCATTTCCGTGGGAAACTCGGTAAACTCGCTAACCTCATATGTGACTCTTTCAAATCGCTCTCTCCGCTGCGCTCGTCTCCGCTTTGGTGGAAGCACATGTATAAAAATCATCGTTACGAGTATAGCGGAGTCCGTAAGGGGTCCGTTCCGCTCGCAGTGGAAGGCGGGCATTATACAGTGCTTAATGAAATATTAAGTATTAATTTGTCATTTGTTTAATGTTAAATTTCAGTTTTCTTTCATTTTATTTTTGGTTACTCCTGTGTCATCCATATATATTGTAAATTGTCTAAGTGTATTATATTATTATATATATGTTAGCTGTTAGATTACTAATAAATAAAATAAATAATAATAATTAGTATAATAGATATACCAAAGTTAAACTATAAAATATCAACGGTTAACTTTAGAAGCTGAGTTCAAAATCCCAGACTTTAACTAAGAAAGTGTAGCAGAATAGGTGAAGTTCATTAACATACATAAAAATATATCTAATATGTAAAAGGGAAATACAGACCACGGTCTTTACCTCCTTGCTGGCGATGTTGTATAACAGCGCAGTTCCGAACTCGCGTAGATCCGTCTGATCACTCAGCATACATTGCACACACACCTACATAAATAGTTATTATTAATACTGCCAAACAGCTTTTCTGTAGTCCTTTATTGTACAACTATCATACTCCAATGTGCCGGACGTCCGATATGACGGTAGTAACCTCAGTATAGGAGCAGCCGTGCGATTCTGTAACTCACTTTTCGAACTCACACAGCGGCGGTCGCGCTCAAATCAGTCGTAAAGCAGTCATTTTACGATTTGGCATTCTGATAAGGAGGGAGTTTGTAGTTTATTGTTTATCAGAATGCCAAATCGTAAAATGACTGCTTTACGACTGATTTAAGCGCGACCGCCGCTTTGTGAGTTCGAAAAGTGAGTTACAGAATCGCAAGGCAGGTCTGATGGCTTTACATGTTCATTTGGAGCATGGGGAGTTCAAACACCGCCAACTTCAAAAGTTAGCGCTTGTATTAAAAAAAAATTGGAAAAATCGAAATGCATTAGGTATTTTAAGTTTCCATTTGGGAATTGGACCAGTCGATGTTATTCTTTAGCCCAGTAGTTTAGTTTAGTATTTATCTGCGATGAAAGCAGAATAATGTATAAATATTTTTTTACAGTAGCCATAGTTTATTGCCCATGGCTGCATTTCTTTTTATTGTAGAATAAAAATGTTATTCGAAAAAAATTATAAAGCTTCTCTAAACTGATTCGGTCAAACTCTCCGTGATAACCAAGACACGACCAACTGGACTCGTCTAGTCCGTTATACGTGCTGTAGAGGATAAAACACCCCCAACTCCCTGAGTTCTTACATATAATTAATAAAGTTAGCGATGCCTATATTACCTTGGTAGTGACCCGTATATTTGACAGTGCTACACCCTTGTACTCCCACTCACTGATATAAAGTAGCCACTCTGACGATGACGTGTTTTCAAACAAGTTGCACATCTGAAAATAATTTTACATTATGTTTTAAACAACCTACTGTTGTGAAAAACAAAAGACGTTCGTTTGATTGTGATTGGTCAACGAACACGAACAAACGCTGCGTCATTAGTCCTCTATTAACTATACTTCTAACTACATTTAATTATACGATGGTGTCAAGACCTAAATTTATATATCGTTTTGTTACGGAGTGGAACCCCACCCCAATAAGTAATGTCGCTGCTTAAAAAATACTACAATAATATTGGATTCAAAACAATTGTTACAGTCATGTTAAACCGTATATCTTTTTTCATTGTTATAATGATACTAGCTGACCCGGCAAACGTCGTTTTGCGATGTATATTATTTCTAGAAAGCTTTTTTTAGTTTAATAAAAATAAACTATCTAAAATAATAAAAATAGGGGTTTTTAGAGGAGTGAAAATAAGGGGTTGTGTGTAATTTTGTATGTTGTATCATAAAAAAATAAAAATAAAATTTGAAAGTTTGTAAGATAGATAGTAGCTGATTCTCAGACTTACTGAATATGCATAAAAAATGTCATAAGAGTCGGTCGGGCCGTTTCGGAGGAGTATGGGAACAAACATTGTGACACGAGAATTTTATATATATTAGATAATTAACGTTTCTATATCTTAAGTCAGAATTTTAATGTCTTGAAAACCACACATTAGAACGAACCAAATTGGAACAATCATGCTTTTTTGACGAAGTTTTCTTTCAACTAAAACCGAATATTACATAAAATACGATATACGAGGACTAGGATGGCATAAAGCTGTAGTCGTCGACCGCTAATGAGTGCAACAGCATGCGGCCACCGCGAGAACTAATTTACCATGATGCATCGCCTTTGACTCTCATTGATAACTCAATCAATACTTTTTAATAACTCTAGGAACAGGCAAGAAACTTTCCGCCGCTCTTTTTAATCGCCAAGTATTGTCATACAAATTGTTAGAACTGGAGCAAATCAATCCCAAGGATAAGGATCATTTAAGTATTCCTCAAATTTATAAAAAGCTTTATTGATTAATTTTCGTTTAACGAGGGCTTTGAATTTATTTAGTGATAATTCTCTAATTTCGCTTGGGAGTTTGTTGTAAAAAACGAATACAATTTCCATATAAGGATTGGTTTATTTTTGGAGCCTGGTTGGTCGTACACTCAAATTAGTTCTATTTCGCGTATTATACTGGTGAAAGTCACCATTTGTTTTAAAATCGTTTATATTTTTTTGGACATACAACAAGGCTTCAAGAATATATTGACCAGATAGTGTCATAATATTTAATTCCTCAAACTTATTCCGTACCGACTCCCTCGTAGAAACAAAACAAATACCCCGAACAGCCCGCTTCTACTTGTTTACCGTTCTGCTATCATGGTTGTATATAATTATAATAAAATATAAAAATAAAATAAATAAATAATTTATCTGCGAAACTAGGTTTCTAAAAGAAAGAACGGAAAGAACTAGTTAGGATACATCAAATACTCCAGCTTTATATTCTTCTTCTTAGTACATAAATAAACTATCACGATAACAGTTAACAAGTGTAAGGGCTAGTTGATCTAGTTCTTAGGAAATTAAACATTCCAATGACGACTCATTGGTCTAGTGGTTAGTACCCCTGACTGCGAATCCATGGGTCCCGGGTTCGAACCCCGGCTGAGACGAATATCGATGTGATGAGCATTTGGTGTTGTGCTTAGGTCTTGGGTGTTTAAATATGTATTTATATGTATGTATATTCGTTGCCTAGTACCCATAACACAAGCTTCACCAGCTTAGCATGGGACTCGGTCAATTGGTGTGAATTGTCTTTAAAAAATTAAAAAATAAATAATAAATAAATAAATAATGATGACTTGATTCAGTATAATTCACTTCACTGATTTTACGTAAACTGTATAATTTGAACAAAGGAATTGCCCGCGCGCATGTGTTACAACCTCTTTTATAATCTATTCCCTACTCCGACCCGACCATCCCACGTCGGGCAGTTGTTTGAGTCAATTCGTAACAATTCATAAACAACCGAACGAGTCAAATGAGTAACTATTGCACATGCGCACTTGTAGCAAGATTCTTGAGAATATGTTTCATAAAATTTTTTTTAGAATTAAATTAAATAAATATTAAAAGCTAACACAAGAGAGCTGAGCATAGTGTTACCGGCAAGTATATAATCAAGGCAAACTTACAAAAAGGCCTAAAGCACGTTGTTCGTCTATTGGCAACATGTCAATTGAGTGCGCATATCCCAATAAGGCGTGTTGTCGTCTATCTTGGTGTAGTAAAAGTGATACGTCATCCTTTAAAGCACTCGCTGCTAGACATCTCAAGACACCACAACGAGAACTAGTCTTTATTGACGGGTCGGTTAGGATACGGCCTAGAACAAGAATTTGATTAGGTATTAGCTGTGCCCTGCGGTTTCACTCAATAAATCCTTTAGTTTATCAATAAATATAGCACATTTTTTTTAATTTGAACTCCTAGTTCCTGAGATCGATCATTGAGCGTTCAAAGTGAACAAAGGGAAATTCCGAAAAGGAAACAATTATTTTCATTGATGCCCCATTTCTTTTGATCATCGCATAATTTTATTCATTGTTACTCGCTGATAATTTTTTTGTGTAGTTTGGTTTAGTGTAGAATAAAATTTTCTGGATTAGATTGTTCGTCACTAAAAGGTAAAAAAAAAATGGCAAAACGTGTGAAAAATTCTGAGACCAGGTCATAAAATACTTTGTGGTGTCTCAAAAGAAAGTTTACATTTATTTCTTTAGCGTTATGTGAAAATGTTAGACGACTTCTTGGTGCCTGAACTTCAAAACTTTCCTGGCTATAACCAAAGACATGGTTCCAGCAGGACGGAGCAACACGTCTCTGCCACGAGTTCGTGAAATTTTCTCAGGCAAATTGATCTCCAGGAGAGTTGACATAAATTGGCCTCCACGCAGTTCTAACCCCTATAGATTTTTTCATATGGGGTTTTCTCAAATTTAAAGTCTACGCCAATAAGCCGACTTCTCTGGCGCAATTGAAAGAAAAAAAACCGTCACGAAATGGCAGCAATCACTGAGTCCACCTGCCGAGCCGTCATAAGTAAGTTTATTGTTCGATTAAATGAGTGCCGCTAACGCGAGGACGTTTTGACATTTGGACGGTAGTATTTTTAAGAAATAAATTCCCAAAATGTGTACTTTAATAATGAATAAACACTTTTTTGATACACGTCCTATTTTTTTAATCGATCAACTAAATATGAACTTCCTTTTGAGACACCCTATTATGTATTTAATCGCCTTACTTAATTTTTATTGTTTTTTGTATCTTGCATGCATGTAACTTATATTTTATATTTATTTTCTAAGGTTTTTTTAAATTCCTTCTCACTAAACTAAATATACTTTTACTGTGTGTACGAGTGGAACTAAAATGTTTAAAAACCTTACCAATAAAACTGAGGAATTCATCGCCAAGTACCCAGCTCCCTTCACCCTGGACTAAATACTGTTGCAGTTCCTCCAGACTTTGCTTTTCTTCTGCTGTTAGTTCGACTCCTTCGAGGGTCTTTGAGAAGGCTTCAAACTCTTGAACTCCCTGAAATTAATATACACAATTATTAATGATTTATTATTATATTATATTTATGAATTTTACATCTTAATAAATGCTATTAAGATGTAAAATTATATCATAAAAAAAAATGGAAAACATCTCATGACCCAATATGATGAGGCTAATATCTCGATGTTACGATTATACGAGCAAAAGCATGTTGTTCGTATAATTGTAACATCGAGATATGTTGATATGTATAAGGCGTATTATCTACTATCCTGGTGTAGTATTACGTCATCTTTTAAGGCACTAGAGGCTGTCCATGGGGTCGAGGGTGCTAAAGAATATTTGTAAGGGTACTTCACTATAGCAATAGAGTTAGATTTTCATATTAAGTTTCCTTGCCACATAATTCCAAGATTGCAAGATTTCCTATTTATCCAATACTAATCAGGTTGATAACTAATTTTTGAATAAATATTTATGTTTTATCTGTTTATTAAGTGGAGTTCGGCTGAAACTGAATATCACGTAAATGATCTGGAAGAACTTGGCACATCTTCTCTAATAAACGCCCCCACTTATAACGAATTATTTACTATCACACATATAAATAACATAATTTTCGTTTCCGAATGCATGTATGCATTTTTACAAATGCGTATATTTCTACCGTTGAAGAAAAACTAAATATTATTATTTTAAAATATGTATGAGCAGTATTTATTAACGCGATATTTTAAACCCTGGGTTCGTGCATTGGAACTTTGGCGCAGAAATAATTAGCGCAGATTATTTTCAAACAAAATTAAATCAAAAGATTGCCGGTCTTAAAACAAAAAAACAAATTCGGTTCACAATAGTGGTACAATTAGACCTTTATTAAATATTAAGTAGTACAGATAAATAAATGGAAAAATATTTTCATAGATATAATTTTGACTTGTGACCCATTTGGTGCATTTACGATTGAACATGTTCATCATATATTCCATTAGTGTTCTAAGAATAAGTTTTTCCATGTAGCACTGAATATAATATAAATGCGATTAAATAATATATATTTAATCTTACACTATGTTTACATTACATAGTTTCACAAAAGTTTGCCAAATTTCACCTTTACTACCATAGAGCATACCACAGATAAGTCGAAATATTTAAGTTCGCCGTAAAAACTGTAAAGAGTTATTATTCTATATTGCCATAATAAAAAGGGGTTCAGATAACAAAGTGTTGTCTGAACCTCTCTTAGCCTAAAGAACAACAGCGGGTTCATTAATCTATAAAGGTGGTATATCAGTATTAAAACGACGTAATTATTTCTGGTAGATAAACAAACTTACATCAATATCCCTGTAAACCACGGGAGGATCTCTAGCTCTCTTGCGTTGTTCCTCTGCGCGTCGTTCCTCTGCCTCAACGTCAAGGTCACGAGAACTTGGCCCTGCCAGGGATACCGGATCTCTAACTTCTACTGCTTCTAAAGCCTCTGCCATATCTATATAAACAAACAAAAATACAAACAGCACGAGACGACGAAACCGGTAGTTAACGTAGTTTAAGAAATTACGCTGTAAAAGTTTCTAGCTAGAGTAAATAGGCATTCTCTTATTCTTTTTGTCGATCTATAGTTTTTTGCACAATATATATTGATGAATTGAATTGAGAGAAACGACAAAATAAAAACAAATTCATGAGGTTGATGACTCAAATAGATTCACGCTACGTGTTATTTTTAGTTGCCCCGTTTAATCACTAGCTAAACATTTAGAATATTTATAATAAATAAGAATGTATTGCATTAAAAATAAAGATTATTAATACTTACTGCACTAAAATAAACACGTTTTCAGAATGGAAGAATGTTTCGTCAAAACGCTTTTGACTGATTTCCTGACTACACGTGTAACCCACGTTGTGACAAAAATAGTAACAAATCAACTACCACCTGATTGGTGACTTACCTTTAAACAAGCAAAATTCACTAAACGATGATAACACCTCGCTTGCTGAGAGCTAACTGTTTCAAATTCACTAATATTTGGCGTATCGCCAAAAACCAACGCAAGATGCCTCATCGTTTTATATTTATAATCACACCAAATCCATGCTTATCCCATATATTAAGGAAACGAGAAGTGTTATGAAGCATTCGTTTTTATTACAAGCACATTTCGTTTAGGTTTTGCATGTTATGTTACAAGTTACTCGACCTATTTGGAGAACATTAAAACGTCGGCATAAATAGACGAGGTGGATCACATTTAAACTCGTTCTATAAACAACTTTGACACTTTTGTTTTAGGACCACTTGAAAAGCTAAGAGTTCATTGGTATTATTAGTTCGCCGAAATAATAAATATCGACAGTAGTAATAAGTTTATTCGAAACATGCTTTCATACAACATAGTAATTAAGCTATAATCTTATCTATTTTTAGCTTAGACACTACTTCTACCGTGACCGCAAACTTTATTGTTTTTATATAGTAATCACATTTAATTCATGTTCATCGTCACAAATTTCTATTGATTTTTATAATTAAATTAAATTAATATTTTTCGTCATCAACGATGCTTCAAAAAGATATGCTATGAGGCTAGCGTTTCTAGCCAAAATCAGACAACGTATGGAGAAGCAAGGTGGTCCAGCGTATGCATGACCTATATATGCCTATTACTGATGAGCGATAAGCGCTTCCACCTGGTCTTGATTCACCTACTAAAATCGCTATTCCCATTTGGAAATCCTCCTTTGATAGATTCTCTGGGGCCCAGAATTCGTCCAGATCGCCCTGAGGCATGCCCTCGTCAGCCCATTGATTCTGGAATTGCTTGTCAGGATTTCGTAAACCTGTAGCGTAATTTGAAACTAGGATGCTTTGATGACCCGGAGCTTCATAATCTTGTATCGGTATCCGACCAGTACAAAGATATGCTTCTCTATTTAAAAAAGAAATGAAGTCTTGCACACAATGCACATCATTTGCAAAATCGTCATCGCCGTACTCAGGGGGCATGAAGTCATCGGGATTCAACAGCAGAGGGTCTAAATCAACTAGAGGAGGCTGATCACCCCGTTTTCGCTGAGGTTGATTCCATTTAGCGAACGGTAGAGGGTTCAATTCGTAGAAAGCTCGACGACTTTCAGGCGGTGTATTCGGGTTTGCCATCGCCGTAACTATTTCTTTCAAGTTTGAATAAAGTATTCCAAGAACATTGTCTTTCAAACATCTGGGGTAAAAAACTTTACCCTTATAGTTCACGGTTCCAATGCCTGCAATGATCTTACCTACAGGTAAACATGTAAACCAAATTGATTCAATAAGAGATCTTATATCCATAGTAAGACGTGGCCTATAAAACAGCGCGTCATCCGTGTTATAACTTAGGTAGCATTTAGCCTTCAACAATCTATATTCAAATTGAGCTAGCGTAACTCGATAGAACGCGTAAGGTGTACATTCAGGAATGCGTACCGTTCCGTATGCGCTGCCATACATTGCGTATGCTTGCTTAAAGATATATTGTGTATAAAACCCTACTGATCTAGTAGTCACCGGAACTACCACTGCTGATTTCCACACAGAGATATGAAAAACGGTTAAGGAATCTAAATCTAAAAGTCTCGTCTTTTTTACATCGCAAATGTTTTAGCGTCTGAATGGACTTGAAGGTATCGCGTTTATACGTCAATTGCGACTTAGGTTTGAACGTATCTTCTATTTTCTCGTCACGATCGTCCTGCCAATTACGTGAACACGGAAAAGAGTCAATGCGATGCTTGTCGAGCAGTTGGGAGCACTGCACCTTTCCTGCGAATCGAGCATAAACAAATTCGTCTAAATGGGATTTATAATTTTTGAAATTCAAGTAAAATTATTGTGACTATTAAACCCGATTTTATCCAGCATATATTATATTTATGATAGCGTAATAACTTATATATTATGATGGCACTGCTATAAAAGAAGTTTTTTCTAACAGACTACAATAAAAAATTTATTTGATCGATATTTCTACATGTATTCTATATTTTATTTTATAAGAAAGAAAATCAAAATGTAAGTTAGTAGCACACACACTCAGATTAAATTTGAAGATAATTTTGCGTCGTATTTTAGTTAAATTATTATCGAAGAAACAAACTAATGGTTTATTTAAAACAATCAATGCTTTGAGGTAATATTTCCAATAATCACTTTACGTTATCAAAACTCAAGTCTTTAGTTGAATAGCCATGTATCCTAATAAAATCCTTCTATTAAAAGGTCATAAATGCACAATGCCTACGCTAAAGAAAACTTACCATCATCATCTCCGGCTCCACCTTGTTCGCGCAACTTCTTTCTTTTCTTTTCTTTTTTTCGCTCCTTTCGCGCATGTTTCTCCACTATGGTACTACGTTTAGCTTCTAACTCCTGTGACGCAATCCTACGAATAAAATAATACTGACAGTTATCACATATATTTAATCAATCAGTAAAAACATTAACTGGACATAAAATATTAAAGTAACTCATAAAAAAGCAATATTTTTTAATAATTTTACAACAATTTTGAGTAGCAGAGAGATCGCGTCGGAAAATCTGGTAAATACCTATATATTCTTATTTCAAACTACAAATAAAAACCCAAAGTCCATCTCCGTTATTTATTTTAGTTTTTTTTTAACATCGAAACTTGTAGAATATTCTAGAATGGTCGCGATTGGTCATATGTCCTACGAATTGACTTATACGCGTGAACTGCTCGCAGTAGCAGGCAGAGGCCGGCCGCCGCACCTCGTAGTACTTGCATGTGGTTCAATCCACTGGACCTACCACACATGTCATTAGAATATTCTACCAAGTTAAATAATTAGCTAAAATATTTTTTTTAATAAACAATTATGGCACTAATATAAAATGTGGGCTACAAGTAAAGGCCGCTTCACACAGTGAAGCCACAGTTCCGTCAACGTGTCCGCTCAGTTCAGTATCAGTGATACAGTATTGCGTCAGTCATTCAATTCACACATGTACTCAGTTTACGGAGCTTCAGTGAAAACGTGGCCGTCGTGAAGTAACGTGATTATGGATCTGTTCAATACTACGGAGCTAGCAATGATAGCTGTTGCTTTAGACGAAGAGCAGCATTAAGGAAAAAAAGAAAATGGGTACATGAAGCATGGCAATTAAGGGAGACGGAAGGAGAATTCATCACATTATACAAAGAATTAGTTAAAAGTTTGAATATTTTAAAATGTCAGAGAGCTGCTTCAATATTCTTCTGCAATAAACAAAATGTGACAAATAATTACGCGGCGTCAGTGATCCGACAAAAAATATCATTGTCAACGAATCTGTCCGTGATTGCCGGTGTCGGCACTGACACTGAGAGCACTGTATAGTCACTGACACTGACAAGTAGGGATGCGTTCATAGATAATGTATGAAAGAAGATTTCGCACTGTGCCGGTACTGCCCTGCGAAGAGTTACAGAATCTCAGGGCTGTATCGGAACTGTGGCCTCACTGTTATAATATGTGAATCGGCCTTTATACCTTACTTGAGTACCGTGGCTACTATTTTTTACAAAGCAAAAACGTTGCAAACAAGGAAATAACACAGTATCATTTAGATGAAGTTAGCTTCATGTAATAAAGCCGCTAATTTAAAATTCTATACGAAGAGATTCGCAGAATTTTTATATTTATAAACTAAAAATATGTTATATCATTATTATGTTGTTCCCTTATTGGACACTGATTACACACTTGACTTCGAGCCATCTTCCCAACCCTAGACATTCTTAATTTTGTGAGAATAGGGGCTAACAACTTAGATATCATTATTATAACTTGACTTACCTTGCTTCTTCGATTTGATTATTGAGCGTAAGGTAATCAGGGCTGTCTTGTCGACTATGACGAACCCCGTTCGCGTAAACTGCCTGCAACAATTTTTTTTCCGGTAAATACACTTTTCATGGCAGTGATCAAGAGACTGGATAATTTAATTTTTTTTTTTTTTTATAGAACGGGGGGCAAACGGGTAGGAGGCTCACCTAATGTTAAGTGATACCGCCGCCCATGGACACTATTAGATCTATTGTGTTCGGTATAAAAGCCTTAGAAGGCACAGCTACAAACCGATACAAAAATATGTTCGATGTATGCCATAGGAAGGTATAAAGGCAGGAATAAGAATTTAACAAAACATTGATTTACTAGGTGAAAATCACAGCGTGTGCCCAGCCATTTGAGCGTTGAAATACGTTTGCTACTTGTAGTACGTATGGATTTAGAACAAATTTTGGTTAATAATGCAACCGCCATTTTCTGGTACATCGTAAAACTTGTATAATTATGAAAAAACATACACAATTATCTTGTATTTATATATAAACAACTTTTTAACCATTAAAGTGTTTTGACTTACAAATTTAATTAGATTAAGACATGGAACTATTTTATCCATTTCCCGATTCGCGGGTTCCAGATTCCGAATCATCGGACGTAGAAATCTGAGGATTTTGTAAAGATATTCATACATTATCGTAAATTTTCTGAATAAATAAGGGGCTCTCACTGGATTTTATTTTTATTTCTTTGTCAATTATTAATGCAAAAATAATCGATGTTGGGCTTTCGATTATGACATCGGTGTTTTTCTATCATCCCTAATGCAAATGCACCTGCATACAATAAAGCGCGCGGCACGCCGCGCCGCGTACGAATGCCGCGCTATATTTGGTCAAGCCCTTAGGATTTAATAAACAATTTAAGGGTACATCGAAAACTGAAAAATACGTTTAAGAATATCAGACTAAAAAATTAATTTGTAAATCATTATTGTCACATTAAAATATGGTGCAATTTTTTTTTACTTAATATACGTATAAAATAAAGCTTTACATCGTTCATGTAATTAATGTAATATATTCGCGTGTATACCCGTTTAGTAAAAAAAAATGTGTGCGTGTACTAGGTGTACACACGTAAGAAGTGAAACTTCTTTATGACCTTATTTTTCGAAAAATGATCTACTATATGCAACTTTACAGAAATTGATTAAATAAAGTTAAATTAGATAAAGTTTAACAAAAGGCTTTTATTATCATAGACATGAATACAAATACAATTATTTCATTTTAACTTATTACTGTACTACTATGTAGTACTAAGATTATTACAGAATTTCATTAATTGTAATAGAATTATTAGTATTACTATCATTGTTATCGTTATTATATATTTTTGTTACTAATGGCTTCGAATCTCTTCGGATCAACCGTGGTAGGGACAAGAAAAAGATGGCGCGTAACCGAAAAATGTGACAAATGTGTGTAAATTTTTTTCCAACGCCGATACAAAGTTTGACTTCAAAAAGCAACATGGCGCGTAACCTGCTACAAAATTTCTCCCATACGTCGATAAAGAAGTTTCACTTCAAAAGATGGCGCGTAACGGAAAAATGTGACGCGTAACGAAAAAATGTTACACTACAATTTTTTCCAACCCCGATAAAGAAGTTTCACTTCAATAATTTTAATGTCGGGTACATTTCGAAGATTTTCACACCTGTCAAAGACAAAGTCAAGGTTAAGAAATTAACTCACCTGCGAACCATCTGGTACCAACTGCTCTAGCATTGAAGTAAGGGCTATTCTGAGATGCGCCGGTAAGTCTCTCTCAGCTTGTGACAGTATGTGCTTAGGTACGCGTTCACCACAAAGGAACTGTGCGATTTCATCGGAGAAGTGGTTGCAATTGTGATTGATTAGATGATAGGTTGAACCACTGGAAATCAAAACAGACAATTTAAATCTATAGCTTCTTAACGAATAGTATAAGCCCATAAGGAAAATCATTTCAATAACTGATCAATTTAAAAAGCGTTGTTAAGCACATACACGGAATTAGGCAAAAAAGTATTTTTAATTAGGTAAGTATTAACAAAAATTTGTAATAACATATTGTGTTATTTTTGTAAATGTTATGTTTTTTTTTTTTATGTTTTACGTAATTGTCATGTATTTTAAAATCGTTAAATTGTAACTTATATTAGATTAACTTAGAATTAGATACGATGTTATGTACTTTAATAAATAAATAAATAAACGAAGGGTATAATGCCGATGAGCAATTTATTATGTATTTAATTTGACATTGGGATCCTTTGGGATATGCTTGTACCGTCTAAAAAGTCGAATAATTAAGACAATCGAAAAGTAACAATATTTTCTTAAGAAAACTTGATCAGCGCTCCATGTTTCGTAGTAAACGTTCTAATCATTCATATATAAGAATTGTTTAGTAAACTACAAACTAGTAATTTTAGTCTTCTAGCTGTCGAAACCTGCAATTATTCGATATCATTGTGGCCGATCTTAATTCGGCAAATAGGAATTACTTTAATAAAACTTACGCATATGTTGATGTAGCCAGGCCCTCTATGTACTGATTGAAGACTGGAAATGGTACGAATGTGTTCCCCAAGGTCTTAATTTGATGTGGAGCCCTCAAACTTGTGCTACCCTGTAATATAAACATACCTAATATATCCAGTGGGACTAAAAACCTTTATGGGTCGGATATATTATGAGCGAAGCAAGTCAGCTCACCTTCACAACATGAACACGTGTAATAGCGCACCTAGAAAGAATAATCCATTGGGACACAGCCAGGACTTGAGCGCATGACAAACAACATATTCCAAGAAATAATATTTTCCATTAATAACACTCGTTTATTAAAACCTAAACATAAAAATTTTCCATTATTTTGTATAATGAATAGTATTTCTGGGTAATAGGTACTTTTAAGCTATTATTTTTCATGTTAACCAAGATTTACGCCATAGTACAGTGCTGAGAAGTCGTAACATTAAGTTTTATAAAGAGTTAGTTTTTTTGAATTAACACAGCAGAAAAGTCATTCGTTGACTTAAAAGTTTAAAACAACTATAATAATAATCCAGCGGCGCTACAACCCATTAAGGATCAATCATATATTGCATCAATTTCTTTCATTTTTATCTATTTTATAGACAAGCAGGTTATTAGGCTTCCATGTCATGCCGTAAATTTTTGAGTATAATTATTCTCGTAGAAAGAAAAATCCATGACCACGCATGACCAAGAAAATTTAAATAAAGTATTACGATGGCACAGTCCTTATATTGTGCTCAAATTAAATACGCAACCTGTATCTTATTTAATGTATCTTCCTATATTTACTCCTATGACATCAAAGAGCCGGAGGTGAAATGCACAATATTTTACAAAATACGCAAAGCGCCGCGCGGCCGTGTTTATTTCCTAAATGTCAGGTTGGCTACGTGCCCGCTTTTCTCATACGAATTTACTACTCGAAGAAATAATAAACGTGACCACTATAACATGCTACTCGATATATTATCACTAATATTATAACTAAGTTCTTGCAAACTGGACGTATCTTTTTAATGAGTTCGATGTAAAATACCGTTACCATATTGCCATGTATTTCGTTAACGACGCATGTCTTGTAACCCTAAGGGAATATGGAAGGAACACAACAAATATTGTATGTATTAATATTTTTATTAGTAGGTATAAATCAAGCAGCCTTTAAACCGGAATGTACCAGTAGCAATAGTAGTGTACCAGGTTAACAACTTAAGTTAGTAACTTTAACTGATTTATACATATATTTATTGAAAGCATTTCATAGGTTAGACAAATCCAGTTTTGTCTATTCCACAGAGAAAGTCTCGTCTTCGAAATTCAATAAATAAAACTGTATAAGCGACGTAGTTTATATGACAAAAATAACATACACGCGTTCAAAGTAAAAATAGTACAGATGACGATGAGATTTTATGACGACATACATCAACTATTAAATAATGAATGCCGAAAACGTTAATTGCCATCATCAATATGTATCGATGACAGTGAACAATAATTTATTATTGGCAATATTCAGCAACGAATATTTAGGCGCATGCTTTCCGAATACTCGAAGATTGAGCAATTTTGGATAATTATTTTTATTTGATCTGGCAACTCTAGTAATACGCATAGATACTATTATACTTGTAAATGTTTTTTTTATAATAACTCGTCAGAATAAGATGATATGTTTGAAGAGTTATGAAAAGAAATGTAATGGGCTGTAGTGTAGTGTTTATGTCGCTAGTGGCGAACAGGAATAGATGTCGCGTGGGCATTCCACTGTTCTTAATATCAATTACTTGTAAATTTCTACTAAGCTCCTAAACGTATGTTCGGTTGAAATTGCACTATTAGAAAAAAGCAATTTAAATGGAAAAATTTAGAACTAATTTATATTCAAAATCGCATTCAAAAGCAGACATTTAGGAGTTTGTATCATTAAACATTATTTTAAGGCAAGTACCATTAGCTTGTGCCTATCATCCTGAAACATTTCCTTTTCCCGAGAATCGAAACAAAGGCACATCTCTTCTACCCCCACGATTAGTGTATACAAAAGAATTTCTATACAATTTATATACTCTTTAAGATCCCTTGCCAATGATCTGTTTTTAAACAAATTTTATACAACGTTTTTATTTTATAACTGGTGTAATCAATTTGTTTGTGACAAAACCCGATTAAAATTAATGAGTAATTTGTCGAATTCTATTTGCGTAAGGTCAATTTGTATGTTGTGGTGGTTTAGCAAGATCAAAAAAAAAGAATGTGTATAGATCCACATTTTTTATAGAGCAAACGGGCAGTTGCAAGAGACACGTTATGTGCTCATGGACACTCATGCCGCCAGAAGGTTCACGAGTGCCAAAAATTGGTAAGTTCATTTCTTGAAAAGCCCTATTCTGAATTTGTTCGGAAATACTTTGATGGGCAGGTTACACATAGTGGGTAGTGCGCGGCATAAAATGCCTTAAAAATACTCGGTTATGAAGGGCCGAGCGTCTAGATGAAAAATATTGAAAACTTTCAAGAAAAGGGGCAGTCAAGGCATCCAAAACCGACAAACGAGTATGGTGATTACTATGAGTGTAGAGGAAAGCCAGAGAAGTTTGTAAAGACCGTATGTATGGTATGGTATGGTTTGTGGACTCGTTTTCCGCACTTAGACGCTCACTAGGTCTGTTTGTAAGGACCGTAAGTAAGTGGTGGTCTCTCTCTGCCCCTTTGGAGGCAGGGGTGATTTAGAAAATAAACTTATAATATGAATATTGCTCCATAAATATCTTGGAATTTTTGTCATTTGGTCTTTATATTTGTTAACAATTTCTAAAGATTAAGTAATATTAGTCTTGTTATAATATAAAGGTCATGATAACCACAAAACACACATGTTCTTTTTTTAATGACCGTAGTAACAACTTGTAAAATGTTTTAATGACAAATGTCACGTGAAATATAATCTTGGTGCCATAGTAATATTTAAATATATCCCAAACTCTCCTTAGCTTTGTTAACCTTATAACTAATATGTATTCAGTGAACCAAGGCTAGGGTTTCTTGTAACAAATATCAATTTTATCTGCTTATATCCACTATTTCAAGTTATTACAGAAATTCTTATTGAAATATTGCTTACCGGTGGGCAGCTGCTTATTCCTTGTCCTCCAAAGAAGTACTCTCGCTCATACACAACTATGGATGTATGCCAAACACCTTCCACTTTGTGGCCTGTAAATGGAAATTTAGTTTAAATTTGGAATAAGGAAAAATAAAACAATTATTACAATTCTGTAGATCCACAAGTTACTGGCAACAAGTAAAAAACTTTATACATAGAAAACAAGGATCATCAGCCTAGAAAACTATCACAAACTGTGAAAAAAATATATTAATGCTTTATGATCTTAGTTTTAAATCTAACCATAAACAAAATATAGGTAATATTATTATAACATAATTATTCATATATTAGTCTGTCACAAAATATACTCATCGTGTTGTTTAAAAGGTTCTTAAACTCATTAATAAGTATTAAACATTTACTTACCAACTATACTTGGCGATATCACTGATGCCAGGCCATTAGTCAAGTCATAGATATAAAGATCTACAGGAACCCCTTCTGACTGCATGGTGTATGTTTTATGTACCTGGTGATATAACAATTCATATAAAAATAATAATAACCTGATAAAAATAAATATCATTGTATAGAACAGCAATAAAAGCTGTCTTTATAGTACAAAAGAAGGAGTTTTGATTAATTACAACAATAACATTAAAACACACTTAAAATTATCAATGTAAGAAAAATATTTTTTAAAACTTTCAACACCCGCTTTCAAAATAACTATAAAGAAAGAATACATTTTTTATTATACTTAAAACTTTGTTGAAATATATTTTAATGTACATATTAAAAAAGAAGCACTATTTTATAAAAGAAATTTATTATTCTAATGAATTTGATACTTTTACATAATATTATTTACACACCACAAAATAAATGTAACTAGCATTTATGTGCTTATTGCATTTTGTTCCTCCAACATTCCATATATTACTTGGACTAACAAAATAAAAGAAACTCAAAAAACCATACATACCTATTTTAATTACTTAATACTTTTTGTTTTGGTACACAAATTGCATAAATACACTTTATTATAAATTAATAAAATATTTTAAATCAATATTAGCGTACTGCAAGAACACGAAACTTGAAAGTGCATCGACAGGTCCAATGCACCGCGATCAACACCTGCGTTCCTCTTATCTGGCGGCGTGTCAGACTACACGACACCCACACATATACCACCGTTACTATTCTATTTATAATTCGCTGGAATCCCGTATCATCATCGTTCTCACCTATTTAATGTAGCAAACAACAAATAACAATGTAGGATGACTTTCCAGTTTCCATACATACTTACGCATTAAGTTTTTGAATGTAGAGCCTGGAGGTCGATTAATTATTATAAAATTATGTTTATATTACAACATAATCTATGTTAACATCATTTTGTTAAATGCAATTTCCAAATTCTGATTACGTTAGACAAACAAATGATGTTAAACGAATCATTTTAGAAAAAAATATATTTGTAGTTTGAAAGTTTGTATGTCATTGGCCCATTAGGCATTAAGGTACAATTAGTATTCTGTGCTCAATGCTCATTAGATTTTTTTTAAAGATTAAGATTTTAACCGTTGCAATAAACCCGAAGGAGGTCTAGGATAAGATTTACAAACAAGCCTTTTTCGTTACAAATCATGGTTCAGGTATGCATTACATTGTTATTTCTAGTTCTTTCTTTCTTTCAAAAATTTTATTCTAGCAAAAAAAAAAAAAAATTGATTTCCCATGATGAAAAAAAAAATATAAGAAAGTCTAGAAGTTTGTATATAGTTATGACTTACTATAATATGCCAATAAACCTGTTTAAAAAATTCTATAAACCTATTAACTATCTATGTCAAGGATACCTAGGTAACACTGAAAATGTTTAGAAGAAAGCGCGGGAAACTTCGTTTATGGTAGACGTTTTTTTTTTCACGGTGGTGAAAATTTAATTTAATTTTACTAGTTAAAACGCAGAGGATAAGCTGGTAGTTTTAATTTTTGTATTATATGTAATCTTTGAATCCCGGAAGTGTAAAGCGTATAGGGAGAAACAGGTGCGTAGTTGGCTTTTCAGATTATAAAGATGCCAATAATTTTCTTAAATGCAATCTTTTAGAAACGAAAAAGTTAAAAGCCTTCATTCCCACTTTCAGCGTAACAAGAATGGGTCTAGTTCGCGGGGTCCCTGTAGATTGTACTGTAGAGGAAGTTCAACAAAATGTATCCGTACCTATAGGCTGCGGCAACTTACTTAAAATAAGACGTTTGAATCGCAAGGGGAAAATTAATGACTCGGTTGCTTGGAAACCCTCTGGAACAGTTGTAATAACATTTGATGGGCAAGTTTTACCAAAAAGGATTTTCATGTGCTATAATGCTCTTCCAGTAGAAATATATATTTATCCTACGATACAATGCTATAAATGCTGCCGTTATGGTCATACCAAAGTTCAGTTTCGTTCTAAGACTCCAATATGTTATAACTGTGGAGGTCAACATGCAGGTGTATCATGTGACAGGTCAGATGAAGATCCTCTGTACTGTGTAATGTGTGAAGTTAAAGGGTCCCATTCAGCGATAGATAAATCATGTCCAGAATTTGTGAGACATACAGAAATCAAAGATAAAATGGCACAGAGCTGCATGTCTTATGTCGAAGCCAGTAAATATACTCCTTCTGTTAAGCCTACATACACAGATGCATAAGTTCAACAATTCCGGAAGTTCCAAAACCCGCATAATCTTCCGCAGCGAAGTCTGTATCTCGAAATAATTCTACTGATCCCTCATATAAAAATACAGTATTCTTAAAACCTCGCTCTCCTCCTAAACCTCGACATGGTTATGATCGTGTTGCTCATAATAATGTATTAAAAGACTTCCAAGTTCCAGGGCCTAAAAATGGCAGTGCTCTGGTTGGTCACAAAAATAAAGAGGAAGAAAAATCTGATGTCTTAGAAATGATACTAGCATTATTAACTACTTTAATAAACTCAACTTACTGAAACCGTCCCACGTTGCCTCTATTAATGAAAAAGTGAAATCAATTAATCATATTAAAAATAATGCATGGCAAGATAATTCAATGGAATTGCAAAAGTGTTGTTCCAAAGAAATATGATTAAATATATTTGATAAATAAACATTCTCCTGTTGTTGTCGCGTTATCTGAGACGTGGTTGAAGCCAAGGGTACCTATTTAGGATCCCTGGATATACTTCCTGGCGAAATGATAGATTTGATGGCCATGGTGGCGTAACATTACTTGTCAGAAACTTAATAAATTTTTCTGAAATAGTGTTTTCTTCATTAATCTCTAATGATGCCATTAATATTGTCGGCATGAAAATTGATAATATTTTTTCGTATTGTTTATAGTAGGTAATATTTGCGAATGTGGAGAAGATATTGGTGACCTTGACCATATTTTCTTTTCTTGTTCCCAATATGACCGCACCTCCTTTCTGAATTCTTCACAATTACTACATCTTCCGTTTCCGACTAAAAACTCCTGCCTTTTGCTTTCCTTTATTGTATTATAATGTATTATCTTCTTTCATAATCAATAATAATATTAAGATGTAATATGTTTGTGTACCCCTTCAGGGTGTCAGTTTTTAGCTATAGTCAACATTTTAGTTTTTCTATTGTTAGTGCAACTCTACAAACGTAGAATAAATTGTTTGAAAAGATTTTTATCTTGTTAATACGCCAAAGAAGTTTTTATAATTTTTTGTAAATAAATTCGTTTCTTTTTGCACACATACTCTCTCATAGACTATTAAACAATCGAAATAAAATACCTCATAAATATCAATAATATATATCGAATACAACTAGGATGTGCGAACTTCTGAAAACTATAGCTTAAAGGAAAGGAAGGAAATATTTACCTGTACTAATTTACTGATATTCTTGATATTTTCATATTTATCGGAGTTTATTAAGTTTAAATTCACAAGTTTAAATATAAACAAAAACTAAAACTCTTAACTTAAAAAATATTAACTCTAGTTCTCTCAAAAATATTAACTCTCATTATAATTTTGCGAAAACGTTTAAATCAACAAGATAAAATCAAAATAAAAATTATTTAATAACATAAAAACATTTTTTTAGTTAAAACGTCCAAAATATAACATGTATTTAAATCGGTAGCCATTAAAGATTGCGATAGGAGTAAGTACTGATTTATAGCAAACAGCAGCTTTTGAGATCACGCATAAATATGGCGGATAAACGATGTTTTTCCTACACTAGCGAAAGATTAATTGGCCGTTGACTACCGAAAAGCGTGAGCTTAATGTGTGTCTTTTCGTAGCACTGTCATGGCGTCGCTTGTTGTATCGCGACTCGCACCTTTTGGGCCTAAGCTACCGACTGTCGACACGAACTGTAATTTTCATACAAATTTAGTTTTCTACTCTTAAGGCATCTTGTCTAAGCCCCCAGTACTAATGCCACAGAACGTGGACATTAAAGTATGCTAATCAGAGGCTTGAGAACTAATGTACTAATTTTGTTAAGCACATGTTAAAATAGTGATTTTTGAATTACAACATCTTAAATAAATAAAATAATGTTTCATTTATTGGTACTAACATTTATTTTCAGAACGCACGAAAGCAATCGCTATTGACAATTGGCTTTTGTGTATAGTCATTGTCATAAGATAGCAAAAGACATTCTAAGTTTTAACAACTTGAACATCAAGTTCAATTTGATAAGTCATGTCAACATAGTGCTGTGAAATAATTATTTTGGAAAACATTATGTCTGGATCAAAGAAAATGGTAAAACAATTATTTTAATTTAATGTTTACTCTTGCATTTTCAAATACCCGATAGCTATTATATCCTACTTTTTGCTTACGTTTTGAATAATAACGTTTAAGCCACTTGGTTCAGGTTTTTAAATTTTTCGATATAATCCTAGCGCTTGTAGTTACTAATTTTATTGTTATAATGCAATAAAGTCAATTTATTTCATAAATTAAATAACCAGTATGGTTTAAAGTAATTAAAAAAACTGATGACTCGGCAAAATTGGTCTTGTCATATCGTTATATCGCTACAGTGGTTGACCTCTTGCAATCGTGTATTCGCAGACACTCCGTGTGCAGTCATCGGAGGGCACGAACCGTGTCGAGGTGTTACACTCTGACGTGACGGCAAAGTTGTTTGAACGAGTCTACGAGACCTTCCACCTGAACACCTTTGGATTCTCACTTCATAAGGATCGCGCGCATAAAGAAGAGATCATATCGAGCAAATCTCGTCAACTTAGAGAGTATGGATTACAGCATGGAGATATGATATACATGAGTCCAGTAAATGGAGCTGTACTCTTTGATCAGCCTTCTACAAGCATTGAGGTATGATCAATACATTTTTAAATTACCTTTAAGTGACTAATGAAATGAAAATAAAACTTTACATTAATGTACTTTAAATTACAGACCAATAAATCATTTGGCATGGAAACTGAACCATCAACATCATCAGCATCTTTAGTACCCTCAAAAGGCCTTAAAAAACAAAATGTTCCTCAAGAAGATGATATTGATTTACAACTGTACCAAATGTCAGGCAATATACAACGGCAGAGGGATGAAAAATTGTAAGTGTCATATATAATATCTAATAGCAACCATAATTGTTTGAAAGGGTTCTTTCTCTAAAGAAACAAATACTATCTAGAGAATACAGACTACATGATACATGTTAATCTGATACAGAACCATGTCCAGTCTTGGTTTTGTAGGGTGATATGATATTATAGGATGATGATTTAGTGGCTAATGCACATTGTGGTGAACGCTTAGGACCTAGATAAGAGCCCTGATATAACTATAATTGTTTTGGCTTGGCTGATGGCTATCATTCACAAATTGAGGTCTACAAATATATATATGAATTTTATTCAAATATTAAAGATTTGTAAAATTAAGTTCATACTATTGCTTTTCATGTCAGATTAAGAAATCTTACATGATCTATATAAAATGATACAAATATTGTTTAAAATTATGTTCTTCAGATGTCGGCATAATTCAAAAGGATGCTGTGTACACTGTTCTCCTCTTGAACCCTGGGACGAGAACTACCTCAAGGAACATAATATTAAACACATCTCTTTTCACTCATATTTACGTAAGATGACATCTGGGAAATTCATTTCATTAGATGAATTGTCTTGTAAAATTAAACCAGGTAAAAAAGTGTTTCTTTTTGCTTACTTTTACTGTTTCTCTAAGCTGCATCATCAGAAATGTTTTTGTAGAAATTCTACATATGCATAGTAATCTACTAATTCTATTTTGCTAAAAAAAATTTTACAATATCTCATATGGAACTATATTTTAAGGGTGTAAAGAACATCCGCCATGGCCGCGTGGAATCTGTTCTACGTGTCAACCAGGCGCTGTCACGTTAAATAGACAGCCTTATCGTCACGTAGACAATGTGTTATTGGAACACGCGGCGCCAGTAGACCGATTTCTAGCATATTGGCGAGCCACTGGGCACCAACGTATTGGATTTTTGTATGGACAGTATGAGAGCCACCCAGATGTACCATTGGGTAAGTCTAGAGTATATGTTTTTATACTTATAATATTTCATGTATTTTCAATAATACTCTTATTTAGACCAGGGTTGATAATTTTTGAAAAAAATAATGATAATAGTAGGATGAAAACCATTGGAAAAGGAGGAGAATATTAAAAAAATGAAAGGAAAAATAATTTATGGGCGATCTGAGGTCGGAAAGGGGAAGGGGGTGAGTTTTTAAGGGTAAAAATGGTTTATCTTGATTTCCGGCAAATCTAAAAGTCCTATGAAAAAAAAGTTAAATGGCAAAGTTGTAGATAATAAAAAGATCTACAACTTATATTTTACACTTTTTTCACATAACCTCAAAATTTATGTGAAAAATTCAAAAAACCAAGTTTTTGGTTTTTTATTTTTATCTTTTACAAAAAAAAAATCCACGAAATTTGGTGAAAAGTTACCTTTTTATGTCCTAAATACGGTGTAATTTATTTGATTTGAAAAAAATTTTTTCACCTTATTTTGATTTATTATCGAAAAAGCACCCTTATCTTCAATCGAAAATTCACCCGTCAAAATATCAGTTTTTTTTTCAAAAAGTTGGTGTGCTTTCTGTTCGTTGAAATTTCTACTTTCCGATGGTAAAAATATATATATATTACTATAGTAAATCTTCTCAGAAAATGCAAAAAATCGAATCGTAAAATGCAGTAAATTTGTCACCTTTTTATCCTTTTCCAATGGGTTTCATCCTACTATTATTTTTCTTCACTTTTTATTATTTTTAAAGGCTTCTACCCTGGTCTAATTGAAAATGCATGACTCATTTAAATTTGTAATAGTTCACTTTTTTCTTTTCTTTTGCTGATGTAATAACTAAAAGCTTAAGTAAGGTGTTAAGATAAAGATTTATTGGCAGGTATCCGCTCCCGCGTGGCCGCGATATATGAGCCTCCTCAGGAATGCTCCAGGGATCACATTGCTTTAGCTCCAGATGACAAAGAACAGTTGCTCAATGAGATTGCTGCCCGTCTTGGACTGAGACGCGTGGGCTGGGTGTTCACTGATCTTATGCCTTTGGACTTAGCAGCTGGAACTGTGAAGAAAGTCAGGTAAATACTTTTAGCCTCATTACGATTGCAATCTCCTTGTGTCTAATGGCCACTGGGGACATAAGAAAATTATTTTTTAGTTGCATCCCAAATAGTCGCAAATGAAAAAAATATGCTTTTGAACAGACTAGACCGCTTAGTCAAAAAAAAATCCTGTGTAGGAGTACTCATAAAAGTATCTGTCTCTTTTTGACAGAATGAGACAAAATAGTGCAAATAGAATATTTTTTTATGTAAAAGATGATTTATCTATCATTATTATATTAATTTTTATTGATAGGAGTAAACACAAAAAGTAAATTTTTGTTACCCATATATGTTGGTACTGAATCTATGTATTATAAATTATAACTACATATATAATAAAAATGTGCCTTAATCAAAAAAGCGTAGATTAGGTGTGTAACATACGAAATTGCGTTCCAAATCCCAGTGGGTAAAAGACATTTTAGAACCATATTTGTGATAGTAGGCATTGTATGTTTTAATCAAATTGTTATCATAATCAACGATCATCGTAACCGTATTTGGAACAAAACGAAAGTTAAAAATGTCATCTGAGGATTTGAATTCCTGTATTATTTGCAAATTGTATGTAAAATGGATTTTTTTAAATGTAATAGGAGGCAAACGTGTAGGAGGCTCATCTGATGTTAAGTGATATCGCCCCCATGGACACTCACATTGCCAGAAGGCTCGCAAGCGTGTTTCCGACCTTTCAAGAGTTGGTACGCTCTTTTCTTGAAGGACCCCAAGTCAAATTGGTTTGGAAATACTTCAGTGGGCAGCTGGTGCAAAAAACTTTCTTTCTTTCTGCAAAAACTGCCTTAAAAACGCTCAGTCGTGGAACGACGGACGTCGAGGTGATACAGATGGTATTTCGTATTCTGCCTTGTACCAACCATCGTAAAGGCCACGTAATTTAAGTCCTCAGCCACTAGTAGTTGTGTACGGTTCCTGGGTCATCAGGCTTTAAATAATAGAAGATTTTTGTTTTACTCTATATTAACCACTCGCGATAACAATAGAATATGAGCGAAATAAACAAATGTTAATTGTAACGAATAAATTCAAAGTGACAGTTGAAGAGAGTGTCTACGTCTGGCTATACTCTCGGGGCGTATCTCCAACGATTTAGGAAATCGTCACGCTTATAAGTGAGCAAAATGTACAGCCTTGGCACGTACATAGGAAATCGTCACGCTTATAAAACTAAGAAAGTCTGAGTGAGCAAAATGTACAGCCTTGGCTCGTGCAAGTAATCATTCATCCTTACCAATAGATGATCAATAAAGAAATCTAAATAAATACATTTTATTTACAGAGGCATGGACACACACTTCCTGTCTGCCCAAGAATGTATAATGGCGGGTCATTACCAGAACCAACATCCAAACGCCTGTCGTCATGCGTCTTCGGGATATTTTGGATCAAAATTCGTCACTGTATGTGTTACAGGTAAATTTAAACGTGGTGATTAATTAGTATAATTAAGTCGATAATAGTTTTACTATATAGTTAAGGCTGAATTTTTAGCTTACGGAATCGACACATAACGATGTCCACTTTGCTTATTAGACCATTTGTCATGAAAGCGAAGCCGTTTGAAAAATGGAAGAGTCTGGAAATTCTACGAAAATATGCAGATCTAAAATGTTTTATTCTTAGTAATTCTTGGTTAAGTTTAGCGAAACAAATATTGCAATTACTATAGGGAAAGTCTAACTGTAACATATACGGTAGATATAGAATTATATATGATGTGGTGAACTTTAATAAATAAATAAATCAACGCAAGATTAATGACTATCTAATGATAACAGGTGACAGCGAGAACCAGATCCACCTGGAAGGTTACCAGGTCTCTGGTCAGTGCGCGGCACTAGTCCGCGATGATATTCTTGTGCCAACACGCGACGCGCCCGATCTCGGCTACATCCGAGACTGTACGCCGCAGCAGTATGTCCCTGACGTCTACTATAAGGTAGGAATATAAAATATGCCAGGTCAAGACTTAGCGCTTAAAGTGTGACTCCTGTACGTCAATATGAGTTGGATTTTGACTTACGGGAGTCATAGTTCGCGCTTAGTCTCGTTTCCGAATCTCACCCTAAGAGCGAGTACACAGGCGTTTTGGAGCGCGCGCTTTAGTAACGAGCGTTGTAATGGTGGCTGTACACACTCGTCGAGACACCCCGAGACAGGCCGAGTGCGAGAGTGTACAGTAGAGCTCTCGTCTCGTCTCGCTTCCTCGCAGTTGGTCTCGCCTCTCTCGGTCGCCTGTCGGTTTTTTGCGCACGAGTCAAAGGGTCTCGCGAGTAAAACGAGAGCGACCTGTACACACTCGTTCAATCATTAAATTTTGGATAATATTAAAACTTTATGATCCTAATTACCAATTTCTGTTGCGGTGTATAGTGCCCATCTTCTTCTTCGCCATGGCTTTGTATTTTTTTTAATGGTTAACGTGAAGAAAATTATAATAACTCATTGCACAAAGACAAACAGCAGCAGCAGTTGCCACGTCCATTATTAACGGTGTTTTAAATACAATTAACGTAACGAGTGTGTACAGGCTGCGCTCTTCTCTCGGTCCTCTCGGTCGAGACTCCCGGCGAGAAGCTCTCGCCGAGTGTGTACAGCCACCATAAGAACTACGAGGTCTGATTGAACGCGCTAATTTTGCGCTAGCCGCGCGCTTTAAGATACAAGAGCAGCCGTGTTGTCTCTTTAATACGGATTTCTTTATCGATTAAATTTGGAATATGGAAAGTTCCGATTATAAAAATAAAGTTAGGAAAACTTAATTATAACGCTCGTCGAACGCCTGCAAAGCGCGGTGTATGTATGCTTCCAACGCTCGTCCAACGCAACACCGAGCGCAAAATGTGTACTCGCTCAAAGTGTCAAGATTTGAGACTGCACATCCCTTATGTCAGATTCCAATAGGATTTTGGTATATGGTAGGTATACTTAACGCTACGTCTGAATTTTTAGCAAAAAGTTTTTCTTGAACATTACTGTCGTTTTAGAAGTCGCTGTACCTTTATTTTAGTCTGCTCTCCGTGATTTACCTGAGTTAATACGTGTGACCTCCTTTTGGCGAGTTTTTTTAAACTGATAATTCATATTTAATTAATAATTTGTGATGAATAGTGAATTTATTTGAACAAGGATTCATACCTCACATTTCTATAGAATAAAATTGATTACCATAAGAAAGGTTTGAAGCAACCTTAATAAATAGTTTATTTAGAAGTTTTAAAGGGCAGCAAATGTTCATAATTTTTGCGTAAATTTCAACCCTTACGCAGCGCAGGAAGTGATAAAATACTCCGTTGTTTGAGTCGATACATCCATTTAGTATAAACATGATGCTGTATACATGTATATGTTATATTCATATAGCCATCCATATTAATATAACAGAATTTTTAAATTCGATCCAGTAGTCCCTGAGATTAGCGTGTTTATCATACACACATACTCTTCTACTTTATAATATTATTATAGATACTAATGTTACTGTAAATATTTTAATTTATTTATTTATTGCTCTTCTATGGCATAATTTGGGTTCGATTCCTAGCGAGTGGATTTTTATATTTTTATGCTGATATTAATAAAATAGGAGAATAATATAATTTACAATTGTTGTGTACATCCATTGGGGCCGTTCAAGTATTACGTAAGCAGATTTACTGCTATTTATCCCCCCCTCCATTCCTCTTGTCACCAAAAGTTAGTAAAGCTCTCAAAAATAATATTACATAAACGTATAAATTTTTTGTAGGAAACCACGAAAATGCATTTCGTTTTCAAGCATAGACAATGTGTGGGTAAAATGTGTAAAACAGTAAATAATTACTGTTAACGTAATCACCAAATAAGAAAATCAATGACTTATGACGCCCCCTTCCCCCCTATAGTGCTTACGTAATACTTGAACGTAATACTTCCTTATACACTGAAAAAGTTATGATCACAACTAGAGTATAAATAATTGGTCTAACAGTCATTCTATTTGACATTGAACTTTTATACCTTGTCATAAGTTGAACAATGCTCATTGAATGCACAATACAATTTAACTTTATTGCCTGTGTAGCAAAGATTTGAAAAATATAGCCTTTGTATACACATGATTCGTCTATAATATCGTATATTTTAATAGTTGGTGTGGAATTTATGAAAAATATTTTTAGCAATTAATGGTATTGATCATTTATCAAACACGTGCACAGATAACATTATTATTTACATTTTTAATGTTTTTTTGTAGAAGAGTTGCATTTTCATTAGTTCATGAATTTTTTGGCTTTATTAATAATCTGTTCTCCACTAATGTTTACATGTAAAACATTCACGTAAAGAAATGAGTTTTAAATATCTTAATACTGATTATAACATAGAAATATTTTCAAAATTCGTACAGAAGTTTTATTCAATTTAAATATTATTTAATGTTATGTAAAGGTTTCAAAATAAAACGGCTCGTTTATTCCTTCACATATTTATTTATCACGAATCCATGTCTGCATTTAACAATGTTATAAGGTCCAGCTTAAACATGGTCGTTGTGACCGATAAAATAATTTCACTAAGATTTGCATAAACTATTAATACAATAAAATATACAAATTTCAACATTAAAGACTCTGAATCGGAGGGAGTAGTAATGGGCCCCCGAAACCGTGGACAATTTTGACGGTACAATAAAGCTTGCGGTCCTATTGACCGATCGACTAAAAGAGCCCATTCTCCGAGTATGGGCCTAGCGCGAATAAGACGAAGATACGACGTTACAATAAATAGTAAATATATTATAAATTTTAAGCAGGCACTGACCTTTCGCGGCACTCTGTGCCTCAGCAAACTGCATCACTACGCTTATCATCACAGTCTTAATCATACGCGTATCATAGCTTACTAAAGTAAATCTCCACGTAAATACATCAATATAGTTATTCTCCGAGAGGTAACGTTTGTTTGTAAATATAAATCTATTCTAGACGACTATAACGACCGATTTAGTATACGACGAGCCTCCGTGGCTAGAAAAGCTGTAGAGGTTTGGCTAACAATAAGAATAAATTCTCTATAACATTTAACATTTATATTAACACACAGTATGATCAAAATATAATCGTTTTCCTTAAACTATATTTCCGAGACACGATAATATAGAAACGATACACCTTAGCGACAGGCGCTCTTAGAAAGTAAGGAACCTATATAGGCCTATATAAAGCCTATGAGACGAGTAGACCAAAAGCGTAGCCGTACGCTATCCTACCCATTTTAATATCTAGGACGATCAGGACGAGTGGCTAACCGGCGTCGCTAGCCGGCTAACGCATGATATCCCTGTTATCCGGTTGATGCTCATACGATACGACATCTTCACGACAATACGACTAACGCTGCGACGCACTACCCTATAGTAGTTATATTATAACACCGATATTATGCGAACGAAATCACTACAGAAGCTCAAGCCGACGAACTTCTATTACACCGTGTAAATACTTGAAAATTCTATACTTATAAAATAGCTTAAAGTACGAATAAAAATTTGTAGACAAAACGAAAAGTTTGGTCCGACGATTAGAGGTGAAAATAAGGTACGCGTTATTCGAAATATTAGATTGTATCCTTTGGGCATGATATGCTCCGGTCTTCGGAGAGAGAACAGATTGGTATTCAGTTAAGTTGGCCGCAACTGGTTATGAGAATGGAGCTATGAGGTTTACCAGCACTATCACCGGTCCTACTCAGCCTATCAATTAATTCCAGGCCCTCCACGACAAAAGCAAAAATAGCAGTAAACCCACGCATCTCACGCAGCATAATCCGAAACTGCGATCCAACTAACCCCAAATTATCGTGACGTTTCTGCGATCGACGCATTCCAACCGAACCGCGAACGGCCACCATCTTAGTATCATCTGGCATAAAATAGCTTTCCTCGAACACGGAACGTCCGCCGCGGCCGTTGTTGAGCTCAAAATCTCCCGTGATAACGCTTTCATTTTCCCAACACTGGAATACGGTGCAGCCACGATAACCGACGCCCAGTTCGCCTGTCGCCAAAACGGAAAAATTGCGTGCCATTCGAGGCGCGACATCATCACGTACTTCTATCACTACACGTCCGAACGGGTTTCCGTTAATTTCTAAGTTGAAATAAAACAAAGGATACGTGGAGGGGTTGCGAAGCATTGGGGAGCCCAGCGCGGCAGTGGTGGGGGCCGGTGAGGCCGCCTCAGGGGCTGCGTCCGCTTCCAACACGCCCACGCCGTCCATCACGTCTGACGGCTGAGCGCGTCGCTCCAGGCAGTGCCTCGTGTACAATTGAGCCATGCAATAATTCGCCAAGAAGAGGATGGGATCGCGCCCTTCTTCTCCGGGAATGGGAGGAGACGACTCGCCGGGACCCAAGCCTGACAGGGCGCGTCGAAGCAATTCGAAATCGAGGGGAACGTTTGCATTTCTAATTAAATCGTCGAGGCGGCACTGCAACAAGGCGTCGGCGTGGCGGGCTCGGAGACGTTCACGTTCTGACATGGCCGTTGCCAAGGAGAAGCCGTCGTCGGCGAGTCTGTCGAAGGGGGCTGGCACTGGGGACAGAGGTAGCGCGAGTTCCGCTTCGAGACGTGTTTTCATCGCCGTCGCGGCGTCGAGAGCGCGGAGCAAGGAGTCCCTTTGTCGCACAGCTAGTCTCTGCAGATCTGATTGGAGGAGGCGAGTTTCACGGGCCAAAAGCGCGCGGGCCTCGCGTGTCGGGCGCAAAGCGTGCGCGTGATGCGCGTGGTCGCACAGACGGCAGGCGCGCACGCCGCAGGCGGCGCACCACAGGGCGGGCAGCGCGTGCACAGTGCAGGGTGGGTCGGGGCTGAGCCGGCGGGCCAAGGCCAAAGCGGCGCCGTGCGTGGGAAGAGCCTCGGGACGGCCGTCAGGCAACTCCGTCCGCTTCCAACAGTGTACGCACCGCACCTCCCGGCCGGCGTCCAACACGCCGCGGGTGCAGGCCAGGCAAAAGTAGTGCTTACACGAGAGAACCTTGGGTGGCCGCTCGGAGTCGTCGAAGACACGCTTGCAGCAAGAGCAGAGCGCGAGCTCCTCCAGGTCGTCTAGCGAGCTGGCCATCGCTCCGCTGCCGGAGGACGCTCCTCCGTGCTACGTGACGGCGGACATGAAAAAATCCCGTCCGCCTCGCCGTTTGGCATTTATTTACTACGATCACATTTTATGGAGCACTCTCACGACACCCGAATACAAAATAAAGCTAAATATTCAATTAAACTATTGGAATTGATGTGGATTGCCACATCATGTTACGTTTTGTGTACATACGCCATGTTGTTTTCCGCTTCTGCGCCGGGCTTCATGTCGGTCGATCAACAGATTATTTACCGGCGGAGTACATTTGTCAAAGCGTCCATTTATTGCGTTGCTAAATTTTAAAACTATGAAATCAAACTATTACACGCCTGATTAATTTCATTTCTTGTAATCGATCGTAAAAAATAAGCCATGTTTTTTTTAAATCCTAAAACATTACTATGACGGTAAATTTGCCTTTCTTTTGACTCCTATATTTAAAGGCAGTAGAAAATAAATATTTAATTTACACTGTACATGTAAACAATATTTTTATTGCAATTCCTCAATGTGTCCATATATTGAGTTGAGTCGTAGTATAGACGTCGTTACAAAGCTACCATGTCGCGCTCTCCGGGCGACCCGCGTTCAACATCTCGTTGTTCCGGCGTTATGATTAAGACGGGCGGGTCAGCCCACGCCGCCGTCGGCCTTATCAGCTCTTATCGAACGTCACAACACTTAGGATTGCCATATTAATATTAAATTCTCTTATATAGGGTACAAAACGGTACTTACCGTTGACGGTGATAAAGTACATTGAAATTGTACACGTCAAAGTCGTATACAGGTCAAAGTTCTATTTCGATGAAAATGAATCCGAATTTATTTTATTGCTTAACTTGTTAAATATATATATATTCTATTACGTAGAGTAAATATTATAAAAAATATTATTATCCAAAAGAATTTACCGTATACGAACTTGCTATTCGATAATTCATATAAGCTCTTACAGACTGTTATATTATACTATAATGATTCGAATAACTTGTAAGAGGCAAATTCGAGGAAGTATCTATGTATTTTATTTTTATTGTTCACATAATTCTTTAGGTTTGTTTTATACCGATTTTGAACAAAAAGTATGTTTGCAGGGAAAATTGTATTTATCTACTGGCAACCCTCACATACGGTGTTGTATCGATCGGCGCGCCAATGCAACGCAACTTATGTAATGATTTTTAGAACTGAGTTTAATGTCTTCTTATTTACAGAATTCTTACAATTAGAATAGTTCCTTGTAGAAGAAAATTTTCAGTTATTTTTAAAAAGGCCTTGAATATTTTTGTAATGACCATGGATGGATATTACGGTAACACTGTTTTTCTCGCAAAGGAAAACACAGCAATTTTCTTGTACCATTTTATATTATTAGTCATCGTGGCGGTGGTTATTATACTACGGTTAATAAAATACAAAAGAATATCTATTTTACTATTAGAATTAATAATGCAACAAATTATTCGTTACATTGTAATCTGTGCACAAACAAACTTTGTACTGGAATTGTATGATTTTGGTTGTACAAATTCAATTATTTGTTGAAGCTTAAAGTCGTAATGTTATATATCTTCGTAAGGACTAGTATCCACCTTCGCTCTTTGTCCTCTAGTTTTATATACGAAAGAGTGAATTAAATTAGCATTTGTATATAAAAAATACTGTTAAATGTCTCAGGGTCGATTTGCATTTTTTTTTCTTTTTCTAGCATAGGGGGGCAAACGAGCCTACGGAACGCTCAAAAAAGTCAATAATCGTAGCTCATTTTAGATGTACTCAACGTTGCCGGGAGTCGATCCTACAGTTCGCCAGTCCCCAAAATAAAATGCAAAGGTGATGCGGATGAAATTGAATTAATACAGCTCGGTTGTGTTGAAACGAGCCAGGATGCATCAACCCAAACAACTCCTCAGAACTTAGTACACTTTAAAACGAACGTAATGTGTAACGAATTACCTTATTAATTAAAAATTATATACTAATGCGTTGCTTTCTCTTTTGTTTAACTGTTGCTGAGTATACAGAGCACTGTTAGTGTGTAAGCTTTTGATTCTCATCCATGAGGTGCTGCGTTCGAATGTGCACCAATGATATTTTCTATGTTCTCAATGAATACCCTCACTTTACGACAACGGGCCATCTTTGAAAATCACATTACTTAGAACAAAGTAAAATTATCACTTAAAACGACTAGTATCAGTGTCAATATAATAGATTTTTTTCATACACGATTATAGAACTATATTATTATATTCTTGAAAATCACAAACGATAAATATTAAAAGTAACAAAACACTCAACCTAGGAAGTTTTATTCCTTACAAAACAATTTTTAATTAACTAAAATACCACAATCAAAATTATACGCAACCAGAAGACAATATTTTACACGACGCCACCATAAATAACAAAAAACTCCCGCGTCTGTCACGTCCGCGCGCCAATCGCCACATTTCCGGTGTTCCCAGTTTCACTCCTCTCTATTACCCCTCACTTGGTCCGACTTGCTCTGTGGAGATTGTTTTATAAGACGGCCGTTCCTGACAGTGCGGCGTCCTCGACCGCAGCATTAGTTGCACCACTAGCATCAGAGCCATTTCTCTCTTCATTTGTTTCATCCCTTGCAACCTGCTCATTATTGTCTAATGCAGTCTCTGAAACATAGAAGGAACTTGTAAGTAATTTACCTAGTTTAGTGTTATAGCCTGAAGCATATATCCTGGATTAGAGGAATGAAAAATGACATTTATCTCTATTTCTCAATTACCAGTACTATGTGCGCAAGCGTGCACTCAAGCGCACACAGATAAGGTCTATCAAAAAGCAAATATTACAGAATTAGATAGCTTCAGACTTAACACGAATAAAAATAAAACTCAGTATCTTGCAATACACTGTCGTAACGACAGCGGCTTCTAGTGCTCTCATAAGCGGCAATTTGTTAAAACAGAGACCCATACATTTTGCATGTTCTCTAAGTGGCCTAAACACATTAGCACCACAAAAATTTGAAACAGAGACCCATACCTTTGCATGTTCTCTATGTGGCCTAAACACATTAGCACCACAAAAATATGAAACAGAGACCCATACCTTTGCATGTTCTCTAAGTGGTCTAAACACATTAGGACCACAAAAGTTTAAAACAGAGACCCATACGCTTGTATGTTCTCAAAGTGGTCTAAACACATTAGCACCACAAAAATTTGAAACAGAGACCCATACCTTTGCATGTTCTCTATGTGGCCTAAACACATTAGCACCACAAAAATTTGTAACAGAGACCCATACCATACCTTAGTATGTTCTCAAAGTGGTCTAAACACATTAGCACCACAAAAATTTAAAACAGAGACCCATACGCTTGTATGTTCTCAAAGTGGTCTAAACACATTAGCACCACAAAGTCCAGTCTCGAAGGAAACTGAGCACGCATCCGGCGTCCACTCGCCTTGCCACAACACCAGGAACCAGCTAGTAGCTCCAACTCATAGCAGTGGCACGGTAGCGAGCGAATAACCTTGTAAGGCTCACGCATGCCGGAGTCCAGTTTGCCGGTGATTTGTGCAGTCTTGCTCACAAACACAAAGTCTCCGACAGCAAAGGCGTGCGGCCATCGTCAACCGGTTGCAAGCAGTTCAGAAGCTCGTTGTCTGCAAAGAGTTAAGAGAGCCTCCCGTTTGGGATTAGAGTTAGTTATAGCTACATCTCACACTAACGATCATCAGATCGTTACTCCAATCATCAGACTGGAGTGACTGCGTCGATACCGACCAGTAACTGCAGTGGTTAAGTATGCGTGGTACTTTGCTTGGAGATGTTCCTCCAAAGTGAGCTGTAGGTATCCTCCACAGCACATAGGACCATTGGGAACCTTTGTTGCCTACTTCAACACGTGCTCAACGTAGCATGTTGCATTAAAGCCCCTTTTATATAATCTAAAGTAAAATTAAAACCTTGTAAATATACCCATCAGCGGGCAACTCGAGACAACAAATCCTTTTTACGCTCCGACAATGAGCCCTGGTCTGGTCTGGAAACTTGGACGCTTTCAAAGGCTTGCTTTGTCCACTGCTAGCGGTTGCATGAAAACAATGCCAACTGCAGCATTAGAGATAGCCCTGCAAGTTGTACCCCTGGACCTACACATACAGCAGGAGGCAGCACTGGCTCTAATAGCCGCGCCATGTGATAGGATTGCAAACCAACACATGCTCAATAGGAAATACCATGTGCAAATGAGAGAAGAAGGATGTGACCGATCAACCCTGGATGAGCTACGCATATATACCGATGACTCAAAAGCAGGGTGTGGCTCCGGCGCTGGCATATTCTCTCTGGATCTTAACATCAACATACACCCGTATTTGGGCACACACATCTCAATCTTTCATTGCGAGTGTGTCGCTCCAACCGCCCATTTCCGCTTCTTCTTTTGCCCTTCTCGCAGGTGCGAACCTGAGTTCACCAAAGATCTAAGGAACTTCAATATCAACGATGGTCGCGAAGTGCGGACTGCAGAAAGTCCAAAATAGCTCTGCCAGCAGTTAACCCGCAACTAACAAAGCAACTTCTAAACTTAAACAGAACCAATCTCAAAACAATGATAGGGACAATTACGGGCCATTGTCTCCTTAACAAACATCTTTTTGTCCTAGGCGCGACAGACAGCCCCCTGTGCAAAGGCTGTTTCAGCGCAGAGGAATCAGTCACCCACGTAGTCCATCATGCGAGGCTGTAGCTAAACAACGTGCAGAAATCCTCGGAACAGTGAGGTCGCTCCATGAAGCCTACGAAGTGCCCAGGAGACTCCTATGCTTCTGGAAGGAGTTAGGCTGGCTTAGTTAGCCAGGACTTTACGCACAACGGACCTACTGAGAGTCTAAGTGCGGAAACTGAATCCACAAACCATAACCATAACGCTCCGTCAATTTTAATGAGTTGTAATCAGTCATTATTTTAAACGTTATACCATTCAAATAGTGGCGGAAGTGCTGGAGTGCACGTACGACGACAGCTAACGTCTCCAACTCATAGCCGTGGTACCGTGACTCTGCGCCCTGGATGGACCTACTAAAATAACCGACAATCCTCTTTCTCCTACCAGCGTGTTCTTGTAATAAATTAGCACCAAGACCAATAGCAATTGCATCGGTGTGAAGTTCCGTAGGCAACTGGGGATTGAATATCGCTAAAACCGGTTCATTTGTCAAACAGTGAATTATATAATCACGAGCAGTATCCAGCTCAGCAATCCACAAAAATGGTTGCCCTTTTTTTTTAACAACTTTTCTATATACACCGTCTTAGAAGCATAACCTGATATATAGCGACGGAAATATCCCGCTTAGCCTAGAAACTGGCGAATCTCTTTGACATTTGTGAGTTTTGGATATCTAATAAGTGCATCGACCTTCCCCAGACTCGGCCTAACCTGACCATAACCAATCAATCGCCTCAAGTATTCAATTTCTGAGTCAATTAATGGGGTCCTGACACTCGTCGCCCACTGCGACCACATGCTGCAAAGTCGGCTCAATACCAGACCTCACAAGCCGCTGTTCTCCATTAGTTCCAATGTATGTCAAAACCTTTTGATTCAGTACAGCGGTAGGTACCAATCAAAATGGGTGCATTTATGCACTGAGAAGGAACAACAAATAAATCTATTTCTAATGACACTGAATGAAATTCTATAACTGTCGTAACTAGAGAAGTCGACTCAATTTCTTGACTTCCAATTCCACGCATCAAGCGATAAGTTGGCACTCTATTCAAATTAAAATATCTCAGTACTGACTCTGAAATCAAAGAAATATCCGACCCACTATCGATCAAAACATCGACTGGTACTTTTTGAAGTACTGCTGATATTACGTTACTTTGTTTGGGGTCAAGTCTAAGCAAAAATTTACTTCATTGATTTTTTTATCATCACTGTTAGAACGCTGTTTTTAAAAACATGAATCTATCAAATGTCCATTACGCTTACAAAATGTGCAATATTTAACTGACCTATTCTGATTGTCGCTTAATGCAATTGGAGATGGTTTTGTGAAACTGTCTCCCTGAGTAGAAGTCGTAGGATCAGCTCTAAGTTTTTTTAGGACAATGCCATTTCTTATGACCTAATTTTCCACAGGTGTGGCAAGTAATTTTGTTATTATCAAACCTAGACGCCTCGCGTTTTCGCATGTAAGACGAACCTGAACTACTAAAAGAACGAACGGTATTGTTCGATTGGCGGGAATCGTATTTAGGTTTTACATAAACAGATAAAAATTCAATCAAACCTTTTGAGTGTAATTTAGCATTTGTGGCCGCGGCTTTTATTTGGGGATCGCTAATGCCTCGAACAACAATAGCGGTTTTCAGCTCATCGGATAAACCTTTAACGATATTCAGACGTAGCAAAGATTTACGCGCGTATTCCGCATAAGTAGAAAACTTATTAGAGTTTGTACTCATTACCTCAAATAATACAGAAGCCATGTCAACGTTACGTGGACATAACGATCTAAATTCTAGTTTAAAATTACTCCACGATCGATCATTTGTCACCCAATCGTTTAACCACAACTTCGCATCTCCTTTCAAACAACTACCTATCCGTCGTAAACATTCGTGATCATCCCAATTATTTAGAAGCCGGGCACCAAACTTCAAAGTCGTGTACATTTGGATCAAAAGGCGATATATAAAAGTTGTGAGACTTTGCTTTGAACAATGCAGTCAATGCTTCAACAATACTCCTTTGCTTCACTGGTATTCATATCCAGTGTGTGTGGAATACTACACTCAATAACCTCTTCAGCCATGCCTGAGCCTGGCTTACTAAAATATGGCTCCCACTCACAGGACGCGACGGAAACACGCTATTTACGGATACAAGTAGACTAGCTTCGATCACTTCCAAACTACAAAGAATCCTATCAAGAGCTACATCGCGTGAACTATCGCAGCGAGTACGCAAGTACCGTTTGTGTTTACGAGGGCTGTGCGATACATCACGACGCCTGGAAGACCGATCCCGGCAGTTTGATGAACTACTATAGAGGCTTCTACCAAGCGGCGTATAACGGGAATCTACACTATCGCGACGTGCTTCGCGAAAACTAGAACGCCGTTTTTCGCAACTATGCCTTTGTCCCTCGAGTCGAGACGAACGACCAGGCATTTTGTTTTTATGAGAAATAAAACTTACGGTTGAGATGAGGTTCCTTCAACACTGAACACTAATAAGTACTAAATTTAGATGACAAACGGTCTAAACGCGTAGTGATCCCACTTCTGATCTTGAAAATCACAAACGATAAATATTAAAAGTAACAAAACACTCAACCTAGGAAGTTTTATTCCTTACAAAACAATTTTTAATTAACTAAAATACCACAATCAAAATTATACGCAACCAGAAGACAATATTTTACACGACGCCACCATAAATAACAAAAAACTCCCGCGTCTGTCACGTCCGCGCGCCAATCGCCACATTTCCGGTGTTCCCAGTTTCACTCCTCTCTATTACCCCTCACTTGGTCCGACTTGCTCTGTGGAGATTGTTTTATAAGAATATATTATCTTTGTGACCTCCCGAAAAGTGCACTCGACACAATGTAAATTAATGAACTGAATGTATTAACAGACGTTTTAGTCCATTGAAATGTTACAATTTGAGGGCCAAACTTAACATTTGTTAGAGGACGCAATTTTATTTATGGGACCTGTAGGGGGGGTCAATACAAGCTTAACCTCAAGTTTGTGGGGTTGGCGTGCTTGTCCCCCGGCCGCCATCTTGGAAAAAGGGGTCCATAAACCACGTTTTTGGCTATATCTCCTAAACTATCCATCGTACATAAAACTTGTAAAGACACATTTTGTAGCAAATCGCTGTGCCTACAATTATGTCTTTGTAACTTTTTATCATAAATCCAAAATTCAAAAAGTTATAAGTAAAAAAGTGAAAATATTTCCTATTTATAAATTTGACTAGGTGCGTCAATGCTCATGACAAGCCGATCAAAACAGCAGTTTTACCTTACTTTTATGATCTCTCGTTTATTTTAAACAAATTTCCTAAATATTTTTTTTTTTTCATTCCTACAATTTTACTTATTGGTATTCCTAGTAGGCCTATTCCACAGACAACTTGCTGATATGGTAATCTTCGACATAATTATATTATCAATCAGTTATTAGAATGGTAGCTAGCTATCACTTTTTTATTTATAACTTTTTGAATTTTGGATTTATGATAAAAAGTTACATAGACATAATCGTAGACACAGCGATTTGCTACAAAATGTGTCTTTACAAGTTTTATGTACGATGGATAGTTTAGGAGATATAGCCAAAAACGTGGTTATTGGACCCCTTTATCCAAGATGGCGGCCGGGGGACAAGCACGCCAACCCCACAAACTTGGAGTTAAGCTTGTATTGACCCCCCCTACATGTTCCATAAATAAAATTGCGTCCTCTAAAAAACGCAACCCCAAATGTAACTTTTCAATGGACTATTTTTAATGTCCGTTCAGTGAACTGACAAAAGGTCTGATTTATGCCAGTTCCTATACTGTAAGAAATAGTCTTTTTGTAAATATTTTAATCTATCACTGTTTAATGTTGTCTTGTTTTATATGTGCATATGTATGGTTTGTATGTGATATAAATGAAAATAGTTTCCAAATCGGAGTATTTTGTAATGGGAGCTTATTATTATAATAGCTATCGTTGGCTATATTTACTAACGAAAAAACTTAAAATGTATCGCTTAGTCACTATTACTTATTAAGCTCAATTTTAACACGTATTAGAGCTTGACTATACTAAATAAATATTTTCAAAAACACTTTACAGGAACGTGACGAATATGGGAACGATGTGGGCGTGTCAGCGAAACGGTTACCAGTAGCGTACCTGCTAGTAGATGTGCCTTGCGGGGTAGCGCCGGGTACATCACAGCCCAGGTTTAGCCCCGTTGCCACCTTCCCGCCAGCGAATCGCCCACTGCAGAGCCATTTACAAAGCCTGAAGGGTCTTCATGAACATATACAGAATTCGCCGTCATTCTTAGAGGTAAAATTTTCGAATGATGGAAGGAGTGTATATAGTAAACAATTTCGAAGTATTTTTGGGACAGGTACCGGGTTTTTAATTATAATAGTTATGGCTATGGACTTTCAAATGCAGAATTAAGTAATTAATACTGTGGGCAGTTCTTCGCTCTAGGTGGAGAAAACTTTTGCAAATAATGCGTGTACATGATGTAATGAAAGCTGCAGATCTCAAAAGCATCGTTGTAACTAAAACCCATCCGTCTATTTTAATCACAGCGTAAACACAATTTGAAGAGAGAGTCTAAAGAGATATAGTAGTTAAATATAGTATGTTTTACTGAACATACATATAAAACAATAAAATGTTTAACATTTATGCACTTTCTATTACCTAATGAGGTTAATTCATTCTTCATCAGGCTATGTCAGATCTCCACGTACTCCTATACTTGGCGACCAACGACGCTTTACCCCTAACAATAGAGCAGCTGGAGCCTTTGTTGCAAGCAGTCAGGACAAGAGATGAAGATGCAGCGGAATCTTGGCGAAATGAAGGGCACGTGGCCACGTTATTGCAGCTGGCCGCCTGTGATCACAATTCGCCGGCTGCTAATAGGTAAGTTTGGCGATTATTCCGGAAATTCTGGTTTCGATAAAGCGCGGATTAAAGTTGGTACCGTGTCTGTTGGTAACGATGTTATTTCTCAATAATCATTTATTACCGTAGTAACCAGACCAGATTATTCCAAAAAACCTGGTTTTGAAGACAAAATAGATTTTTAGCTATCAGTAACCCAAGTTTTATTTTACCAACTGGACCGAGTTCAAATTTTCTTTTCCCGATATAAACGCGTTTATATTAAGTGCTTTTCAATGTAATTCGCATAAATATCCGTCAATGAGGTTTTACTAACATTTGTGACGTTTTCATGAGGTTGAGAAGTTAGAGTATGGGTTCTGGTCTCACATTTCTGCATACGAAAGATTTCATTGCACCAATAAATTTTGCTTTCACACCTAAAACGACTTCTGCTTACTTCATATTCTATCCCACGAAAATGTTTTTCCAGTTCGTCTGACTCCGGCGTATGGACGTGTCAGTTGTGTACGTTCCACAATGCCGCGCCGCTCGACTCCTGCGAGATGTGCGCGATGCCAAGGTAATAAATCATTTATATATAGGTAACAACTAGTTATAAATATCAATAAAGATTTATTAACGTGTTTTATAGTATATAACGACTTATACAGAACAAATGAAATAGTATATTTGCCAACAAAGCAAACCATTACATTAGAGCGGGTATTTATTTTGAAGCGAGGGATTTTCACTACTAAACTTTTTATTTATATATAGATAGAATATAATCTAAATCATGGTATGTCACATTGGAAAACCAATGTGGTTGGTAAAATATTAATAAAGCCGCTATGAAAATATATTATAGTATTATTTATTTCATTAACACTACTTGAGGCAGACATAATTTTAAGTATTACCTTAAATCTTAATTTAAAAATGAGACGAGAATTTGCTGATCCGTTTTTGCAACATTCATTGATGTTATATAACCCTATATTACTGTCTCGTAAGAGAATTTTTAAAATCATTTCAGTCGTTTCAAGGAGATATCCATTACTAACAAAAATCATTAAGTAAAATAATTAAGTAAATTTGGTGTAGAAAGTATAGACTGTAGAGTGTACATATGCAAACAAGTTACTTCAAGTTGTCACAGCTAGGACTTACCTTCTAAAAAGGGCACATATGATTTGCAGTTTTACGACGTCAACGAATTACCTAGGTTAACGGAACGGTTTTCCGTTGAACTGATAAAAGTTCTGCTATTTGTGTCTATAATTTTTTTTTTTTTTTTTTTAGGTAGTTCTTTAGCTTATTTTTATAATTAATTTCTTATGTTTGTTCTTATTTCGTGTGTGATTTTAGTCGTTGATTCAGAATCACATTTTCGTACAGGATTGTGGTTTTTGTAAATCGATAAATATTAATGTACTGCGGGAATTTCTTGAGAATTCTGAACGGTTACTTCTTGTAGCAGTAGGAATAAAAACTAGATATATTTGATTTTTTAAAATTAATATTGAAAAATTGTTCCCAGAAACAACGCAATGTAGATTGAAGATCTCGTGATTTTTACGAAGAGCATCACCGGTCTCCGCTCGGACCTATTTTTGTACCCAACGTTGTTTGGACCTTTAGCCGCTAGCATTTTATATTTTGTTTAGGATTTGTACCGTAGAGAAATTCCGTTTTCCTTTCCTATCCATAAGTTAATGTAAATAAATTTTAGTTTTTAATTTTAAACGTTATTTTTTTGAAAGTCAAATATTGGCATATTTGTGCATACGTTTGTATTAAACTAGGCATCGCAAGAGCCTACTGCGCTGGAACTGCTTCGAGTACAACATTATTATCTTTTCCATAGTTTTCATGCAGCGAAATGGATTAGTTTAAAAAACGTTTAAATTTTGCAAGGAATACTATTAAAATGGTGTGCAAATATGCCACATAACTGAGGACTAGAAACTTATATTTTTGTCATATAACTGCTGGTCATGTGTACTGCGCTTCAAGATTTGAAACAGCTGAGAATGTTTCTTTCAAATGAAAATAATAAAAATCCACTCAAACACACTTATAGGCTTATTTAAATCTCTGATTTATGACCCAAATTTGGGTGGGTGGTTGAATCTATATTTGATATGCGAATGAAAAAAATTGTTTCTTAAAGTGCAGTGTAGTATCTCAATGTATGTATAGTTAGGAGCAGCGTTTACGAGCGTTTTATATGAGAGAATTCACATAAATACAGTGTGCTGAGGACACAATTTTGTGTTTTATTAAAAAAAATTTTTATTTATGGTGCAGTTTTTTACATTTTATCTTATAAATTGCTTTTCAATGATCAATAAATTCAGTAATATTTAAAAAAATCGATAAATTCGTGGAATCTCGTCACGTAGTAGAATTTTTTTTAGTTTTAAAATGTTTGCTGAAATTCATTCAAATTAAATTGAAAAATTAACAATATGATTTTGATACATTACAAGTTAAAACATGGCCGCTTGACTAACATGGACCAAGCTAGATTTGTGTGCCTAATTCACAACCAAATATCCTCAAACATGTAGGAACTGTGCCTTCTAAACTGAAACATCGGGTTCAATTTGGTTCAGAAATTGGTCTATAACAAGAAGAGTTGCTCTTGCTCTCAGATTGCAAGTGTTTCATTGATTATTTTTATTTCAAAGACAAGTAGGTGATCAACCTGTCTGTTCTGTCTGGTGCATGTCGTCCATTCTTGGATTTGTGACATGCCGGTTTCCTCACGATGTTTTCTTTCGCCGTACGAGCGAGTGTTAGCGCATGTAAGTCCATTGAAGCACAGCCGGGGATCGAACTTACGACCTCTGAGACAAGAGTCGCATGTTAACACACATGCACGAGAGGCCAACACCGCTGTATTATTACAAAATGCTTTTCTTGCCAGATAAAAATAAAAAAACTAAATTGGTGTTTTGTAAAAATATTTATTTAATATGTACAATTTTGTATCTAAGCAGCAACAGGGACATTTACAGCACTCAAAAGCCACAAGTTTTAACAGAGAGCCTTCGGTAAATTTATTGTATGAACACCAAAACAAATATCTGCTTTACTGTAAGGGAGCGTTCAAGTATTACGTATTTTTGGAGATTATTGACCCCCCTCCCCCATGTAACTCGCCGTAACGTTTTTCAGTACCCAAGTATAGTAAAACGTTTCGTGACCACCTAGTGACTCTTCAGTTACTATTATGTGGTGTAAGTCGAAAATAATATTAACAATAACGAGTAATTCAATCCCCGCCCCGCATCGTAACGTTTTACAAAAGGATACGCCCCCCCCCCTTCCAAAATTCGTTACGTAATACTTGAACGCTCCCTAATGGCTACGAAATTTAGATTAAGACCCAGAGTGTTTGTAATTACGAAATGTTCTTAGACTAATACAACGGATGACAACTATTTTTTGCTAAAACAACAGTATCTAAACTATTTTCGGCTACGTTTTTACATACATTATTCAATTATGTACTATAAGTGCCCAAAGATGAAACTTTAAATCTGTCTACGTGTAACATTTATACACGAAGAAATAGATTTTCGTAAACCTCAACGCAACTAAAATTTATCCGATATAAGTCCGCTTATTTTTATTTACAACTTTTTCAAACTTTTTTGCGGACTATTCTCTCAAACAAACACACAATTAACAGCCTAGTGCATTATTACTAAATGTAAAATAATTTTGCCTAATCGAATGCTTAATGCAAAACTTTCAGTAATATTAATAAATATTTTGTTTCAACCACCTATGGTTAAGGAAGAAATTTCCAAAAACATTCATCGCTTATTATTTTTTTCAATTCATTTATAGCGACACGCTAGGTTAAGCATTAAAAATTGTAGCTTTGCCAGCCCCTTGTACAGAAATTATGGTGTTTATAAAAATGATTACGAGCACTAGTCTAAAACACAAATAGTCGTACACATTATAATCGATATCACATCGCATAGTCTAATAATAAAAATATACATGTCGCTCATTATAATTACAATTTATATACAAGTGAGCCCACACACCGCTCCGATATCAAAGTGAGCTCAGATCAAATTACAACTAAATTCAAAATCACTGACTCCTATATACACCCCGTCATGTGTATATAAAAAGGAAGATTATAAGTATAATACAGGTAATGTAAACCATTCTAAAAGGTAAGTGACCATTTTTTTATTTTTTTCTAATGCAAATTTAAACATCAAATTGATTAAAACTAAATACTTCGTACCTGTTTATCATCGGTATATACGATTTCTATAGATAATTCATGCTCATAGACTTATAACATATCTTATTTATGTCATATTACAAACAATAAACAGTTGACAAAGTAGTAATAGCTCTATTTTGTACCACTTCATTAAACAAAAGAAAATTATTACAAAAAAAATTCAAGTTTTGTAATTCATTGTATCATTTCTTACGCTTCTTGAGTTCTCTTTTATGTATTCTTATAGTGTATACGAAGTGTTACATCAAAGTGCTGTAATAATTATGAAATACAAATTGCAATAATATTAAAATACTAATTTATTTAGGGCAAATACACAAATGTTACCGCATTTCGAATCATTGCTGAACCTCTTACAATTTTGTATAATTATATAATAACGAGTTTACTAATCAATATTATCATTAAATTTTCAGTTAATGTACATTATTACGACAACTAAAATGATTTCTCTCCAGTTCTCAAAATTTTAAAAGGATATTTATTACATTTGTTGAAGTATCATTTTTAACATACTGTTTATTGGAAATGGCGTAATGCAGTAACATCAGAGACGAAAGTGGCCTATTCGGTAGCGGATGTATCGGTGGTAGCGCGCATGGGCGGGAAATGTCGAGGGTCGCGGATATCATAAGAGCCTCTTGGTGGTGATCCGGTCATTGCTGTGTTTAACTCGTGCTCACGTTCCGATTCTGATAGACCATATAAAGGGTTAGTCTGGTTCGAAGGACCATAACCTCGTTCTGTTTGTGATGGACCATTATGCTATATGCATATTTATAAATGATTAATGGTTGATGAATGACTTAAAGTTATAAATTGGCCCAGGTCTACTGAATTAAACGTAAAATATTTGTGATTCAACAACACCAACACCCTAAGCATTGCTTTGTTGTTGTAGAATTTTTGAGAAACTAATTAAAATTGAGGAGTAGAGGTTCGAAAGGAGATTAAATTAGTCTTGTTTGATGGAAATTTGTAAATTCACCAAGAAACTTCATATTTACATTTATTTTTGTTTATAAATTAAAAGAGTTTTTTCAAACTACACTGAGTTTTTTTGTATTATCGGTGTTAAGAAAAATAAATGTTATTTAGTGACCCATCTCAACAAGTGAAAGCATAAATCTAGCTGCCGAAGCAAATGATTATGGTGATAATGACATTGTTACGAATATAATACGAAAAAATAATATTTAATAACGCCTCTAAAATCACCAATTAGCTTACATATAAAATAAAACAGGCAACTCAAAAGTAATTTCATTTAAAAATTAATCACCTTCTAGAAGAAATTAACAAAAAATAAGTGTGTCGCTATAGTTTTACATCGCCTTACAAAATGCTAACAATTATTACATATACTTATAATTAGATGGCAAACCTTGGAACTCGAAAAATCAAGGTTTTTTAATACTATTATTTTGTACTTTAATTACATTAGGGTTGGATTTATAAATCTTGGCGTTTTTTTTTTACACAAACAGAACTAAACATCTAATTATAAACCTCCACCTTTGGAGTTTTTGAATTCGCTTAAAAATAAACATTGTTTTATTAAGATTAAAATACAATTTTAAATGTTGCTATTTAAAATTGAAATTTGAAGCAACGCCAATGAATGCGTCTTAAGTAACAAGTGAATTATGAAACCTTAATAAAAAACGAACGAAGGTTGCCCTATATTTGGAAAGGTATGATAGTCTGGACCCCACTGACACAAAATCACTCTCTTACAGACGACGCACACAACAGAACTATTTTCTTAAATGTATAAGATTTAAGCGTTTATTGTACATATAGTTTGCTCGGACTTCCATATACTTCTTGATGTACACCGTGATTTCGAAAAGCTTCTAGAAGACAACATTTCATCGGAGTGAATTAATGAGCACACTTTTTCAATCTACTCGAGAGTGGCGTGTAACTTACCCTTACTCGTCGTCTCCGGCCGGCAACTGCACCTCTCCTGCCAAACCACACTAACGTACACACAACCACTCTCTATGTTCTATGGTCCATATTCTATCATTTATAGTTTATGGCTAAACGCATAGACATCAAGTAGGAACCGAGCGTTATATAATAATTATACACATAGCGATTATCTTCTAGTAACAAGTCTTTATTAGGGCCGATCGCATTTGTCTTTCTATAAAGTCGGTATTTACTCAGGTCATTCTTAGTGTCTATGGTTTTGCCAGTGATAATCACTCGATACTCACAGTAGTAACACAAACCAAACATATCTCAAAAATAATCCAATTAGGGGGTGAAATAAGATGGGTAGGTTTTTTATATTTTTTTATTTATAAACTTAACCTAAGCTCGTGACTATTGAGCGATGTTTCTGTCTATTCTATTATATCTTCAATCTAAACTTAACTAAGACTTACATAACAGAACAGTCGTCAGCTCTCGCAAGTATATAACAAACGAGTGCTTAGACAATGCCAGATTCAAAAAACACCAAACAAAGCAAGGAGCAAAAGCAGGGGTTGGGCCAATTCGAAATCCGATACAATTCGATTAGGTGACAGATCTCTCACCGAGGCTATAAGCACTTTAACCATAGTGTATTACTTGCGCAGATAAGGATTGGAATTATCTTCTCATGTATGTGAGTGATAGTGTGACCATTCTTTATCCAATTCAAACGTATACGTTGACTGGCTAAACTTATAGAAGTATTTAGTCAATGTAACATATTTAAAATTAGTACTTATAACGTTGGTACAAGACACGGTCGGACATTGGCGACTGAAAGACTGCAAACCTAACGCGACGACGCGGGAAAGTGAGGGTTAGGAGAAAACGCTATAATGGACTTGTGGATGGTCATGGTGGTGATGGAAAGAGGCAGATTGGTTATAAAGCTATTTGATATTGAATAGACGTATGTGCGTGGGTGATACGATACCGACTTGTAAAGTTGGTTATATATTAAAAGGGATAATCGTTGATTAGAAATGCAGCGTAAACTCTATATAACGACAAGGGACTTTGCATATTTTGTCGTTACAGAAAGTTGTATTAGAAAAAAAAAGTTTATTTCAGAGCTAGTTAGCATTTGTCGTTAAATCGAAAGACATTATATAGAGGTTACACTGCATGTGAGGAAATAGTACTTTGGGAATCCAGATCCATCCACTAGTATGGCTAGTTGGAAGTGGTTGACACATCTGGTTATTTAAAGGTTCATAGATAAGGAATCTGATCGGAAAGGAAGTAGAAAACATATAGTTGGTTGGAAATAAATTAACAAGTTGGGGCTAGGACTCCAGCTAGGATATGGAGTTTAGTGGTGTAAAGGGAAGGAAGTAATGGGTGAATGTGGTAGGGTGAGTCATATACCTGTCATGTCTTCCGGGAGGCGTCCGCGCAGCGCGCCCGCGTAACTGCATCCCGAGGCGACTGCGGGGAACAATACGTCAGCCATCTACGCACTGCTTACGAGCAACGATCACTAGCCTTTACTTATAAGCCCTTCCACGTTCAACTTTTTAGCTTTTCTTTTAGATACATCTTTACTAACTAAATAAGATCTAGCGATTGAGTGATTCTTTCTGGTTTACACCTCGTTAGAAGAACAGTTTTTTCAAGAAGTTCTACTTAATTTACTAGCTTCTTCGTTAAGATAATATAGGCTTCAAACATATAGCTCGATTTAAGCAATCAAAAATTCTAACGTACCCAAAAGTGATCGTTCCTGGTAAATTTTTTTATAACTTTGTTGACAGATCTTGTGCGGTAACATGGCTTGATTGTGGGACTTTAACATACTTATATAAAAGTCGGTTATTTTTAATGATAATTAATTTTGAAAGAAAACATAAGTTCAGAGACGAAGAACCTAAATATGCAACAAAAATGACGTTCGGCAAGCGGTGACGGGAAGGAATGGAGAGGACGTTTACGAAAAGAATATTAGACAATGACGAGACAATGTTGGGCCATGGCGTTAGAACTCTAACAAATGTGCTAGAGTCACACACCGGGCCACATAATATTGGCGATGTTCCTTCTTAACATGAATAAGAAGCAAAATAAAATTTATTAAATCATTAGTTTAAAACAGTGCTGATTCACTAGTGAGGCAATTATTGTTTGAAATATTTGAGTTGCTAATTTATACCAGCTTAATTAATTAATTAATAAGTAATACTACAAGTATTTCAAACAAATTAGAAATAACACTATCAAGATTGTAATGTACGGGTGCAGGCAAAATAACTCATAATAAGATTTGTTTTTGCCTGTACATTGATATTTCATGACTTAAACAATAATACTGTATAGGATTGACGTTAACTTAAACATTCAGTCTTGTTAAATTCAGTCTCAAGTAACAACAGAAATAGATTAATAGGAACCAATATTTTTCTCTAAAACATTTCATAAAATTCTAAATTTATACTACTTCAAACTTTAAAATATTTGCAAATATTATATAGAGTATTTATTATAATTTCAGTCGAGCCAATAAAGCTAATTAGGCACAATAACAGTCTTTTCATTCTTATTTCTAGTTTTAAAATCAGTCAAAACTATATCCTTAATAATATAAAAAATCATTTAACTAAACATAGAAACGTCTAAGCCAATTCTGGCCCGTCAATCCTATATCCATTGCATTCGAGGAGTATATCGAATGTTTGTGGATTACGCGTATGTGTGTGTGTACGTAAGACCATACCATCGTTAGCGGGTGCTCGTGGCTCCAACAAACTGTGCGTACGGAGTAACGTACACTCCCCGCCTTCGGTTGGGTCTAACGAGTACACGTACAGAATGCCCTCTGAGGTCGCTACAAGCAGACGTGCTTGACGGGATACGCTGAAATTGGAAATAACCTAGTCAATATCACTTAATTTAAGTATAGTTTTTGTGTTATTCATGTGCTTTGGTGACATTTCGACGACTTCTTAATTTTCTCAGTAACTAATTCTCTAATGTTAACGTGCTGTAACTGGAAACTGGCGACTGGTGATGATGGAGCCAATATCTGAGCGAATCTTCCTTTCCAAGGAAGAGATTTTTCTGTTTTCGTGTTTTTCATTTATTTGTGGTGGAAGTCAAAACTCATTTAACATTATTAACTATTTTGTAGTCTATAGTATCATTCCATAAGTGTTGCTACTAAAAAAGTTCTCCACCGAAAAAGGGACATATTTCGCCCATTTGAGGGTAATTAAAAATAAAATGCTACGTATTTTCATGTTTTACCTACAAAAAGGTAAATCTAAATATTATTGAGTAAGTAACTCAAGTGACCTAATACAAAAATAACAAATATTTCAATATCACTAACTATATATCGAATTAACTGTAATTATTTTATTTTATTCAGTAGCTGGCATCACTGCCTACTAAGTACAGGTTTCGTAACCCTTTTTAATAAAATAAAATGTTATCTTAACTTGTGCGTTTTTTACTGCTTGTGTTAAAAAGGGACGTAATTATCACTCGCCGTTAACCACTTTTAATGTGAAGGAACCGCGCTTAATAAAATGGGTACATTTACTAACAAATAAAATGTATGTATAGACTCAAGACGTTCAGACTCGTATTGAATTTGAAAAATGTGCCCGGCCAAAAAGGTTTGCCATCTCTGACATGTCAAAAAATGATAGCTGTCAGAAGTAGTTTCTGAGATTAATATCGAAATAGGGCGTTCTACCAAACAAAATGAACAGCTCAAGCCAAGAGTTTATCTATTACAAATAAAAATAAAATCTATAATATATTGAAGATGTAAACAGAATGTGATAGGTGATACATACTTGGTGACCGCAGCAACAGCACGGTACCCAGCCCTGGGTAATTTGGCAGATGCAAAGGCCCGTCCCTGGCTTAGTACATCCGTAACCTGGGCAGGCAGATAAACCAAGCCGGCGGACAAGGTCTGTGACATCCAGTCAACCCAGCCAGGCTCTGTTGGGGAATTGCCCGCTGCGGCGCTATCTTCTACCGCTCTTTCGGCGTTCTCTTGTAACCTGGTGGTTATTTGTTAATATGTGTTGGATATTTTTTTGCTGTGGTGTGCTTGTTAGATTTTACGATGAATAAAATTTGATTCAAAAGTTTTAGTTATTCATCTCGACTAAAGTAAGACTAAATAATGTTTCAGGTATAAAAAAATCGCGAAAAACGTTCGTCAAATTTTAATATTGATTTTTTATTTAGTTTAAATTTGGGTTTTATTTTTGTTTTCCCTACATTTTTGTTCATAGTATTGTCTTTGATTAACATAACTTTTATTCATTTAATAAAACACTATTTTGACCGGATTGAAGTTATGTATTATTATAAATTTACAACTATTTAACATCATTTTAAATTTATCCGACGTTTCGCGTGCTTTACAGCGTGCGTGGTCACGGTGACTTTACGGTACATTTTTGTTCCTTGCTGTTATGATATTTTTTCTTCTTTATTTGTAATTACATACTATGTTCTAATATAATTGAAGAGTAATTGTGAAAAATTTAACGTCATTTTTATTATATTTTTTAAGAATGCATGTTGTTTGAGAAATTATAAATAAATAATGATGATCTTTTTGTGTATTTACGTCCAGTTTAGAATTATATCCCATATGAAGTGAATTATCAATATAGAACCAAATGAAATATACATACCTAAACACATGTACAGTCTCCGTATTAGAAGTGGCAGCCAAATAGGCGCCACAAGCGCTGAAGGCCAAACAGGCGATTGACACGCAGCGCTTCATCCCGCGTCGGAACTCATAGAGGCGCGTACGCTCCGGAACTGCGAATACGCGTATAACGGTCCCGCGTTCGGAGGCGGTGGCCAATCGCCGACCGCACATAGACCACGCTAGAGCGGCTAGCGGGCTATCGTGAGCGCTGATTACACACTTGGCGTTCTGAAATTGTTTATAATTAGTTTAAGAAGCGCGCTTTATTGTTACTTAGTGTATACAAAAATTGGGGGACAACAAAGTGTCTTTAAGACCAAAATGATTATATTAGTTAATACGTCTAGCTTGTGATCATGGCTTATTCGCGAATTAGGACAAAACTAAAATAGGTTTTGGCGCAACATCATATCATCAGTAAGGATTTAGGAAAAACTCGCAAATAAGACAGTACTTTAAAAGGTAACGTACGTTTGACTAAAAACATTAATACCAGGATTTGTTTGATAAAGTACGTATATCAATAAGAAGTATGACAACGCAAGATTGTTTTTCTTTCAGAATATAAAGATTCACATACCAAATGAACAGCATCAAATATCTGCACCTCACCCACGGCGCTAGACCCTGGGTATGCCACGTAGCAGTGATCAACACAAGGCGACAACGCACACAGACCGCGTGCGTTCGGTGGCGTGTCTCTAATCGTATGAAGAATCTTCATGTCCCGAATGTTGTGAATGTGGAGGGACTCTTCCAGGCATACTATAAGCCTCTGAAAACATGAAAGAAACGTTTTACATCAGCGTTTGACAACGCACTTACAAACAAAAATTCTGTATTGATTTAGCACAATATTGAATTGGGAAGTTGAACTACGCAATACATTTACAAATGTAGTAGATTGTACATAATACTTGATTTATGGCAAATTATCTGAACGAGTTGAAGGTTAGCATGCTACACATATTTAAACCTAAGGGAGCGTTCAAGTATTACGTAACGAATTTGGGGGGGGGCTTTTGTAAAACGTTACGATGCGGGGCGGGGATTGAATTACGCGTTATTGTTAATATTATTTTCGACTTTCCAGTACTTTCCCTTTACACCACATAATGGTAACTTTTAGGTATAAAGAGTCACTAGGTGGTCACGAAACGTTTTACTATACTTGGGTACAGTACTGTAGAAAAACGTTACGGCACGTTACATGGGGGGGTCAATAATCTCCAAAAATTGCGTGACGTAATACTTGAACGCTCCCTAAGTTAATAGAAATGAGAAAAACAAAAAGTTTACGTATTAATGTGCTAGAAGCATTCAAATAATATTAAATAAAATCTCATCTTGCATTTGTTTATTCCATCGTTACTATTCATTAAATTTAATTGTAAAGAGCCAAATAATATTTTCTATTTCAAATCTGTAACTTATGTTATAACTTCATTTTACTATATCTTATATTATTGTTTAATGTGGACGGACTGGTCAACGATAACTGACGAGCACGTAAGGCGAATGTAATGAAAGCGGATGTAGTCAGAGATATATGTTAGGAACGTAGCAGATGAAGATCCGTTGTATCTGCCTACATCTTCCAGTAAAAAGCGTGGTGTATAAATAATATAAAATTGAGTAATGTAATGAATATAGTATTGTTAAATGACACTTAATTAAATTTTCCTTTTATGATTACCTAGTGATTAATATCATTAACATTCATATCAAAAACAAGATGAACATAAAGCTTACTATTGCTACTTATTAATACCGTATAAAACGAATACTTTTAATCATTATCTTAACCACCGTTATCTTCCTCGTCTCATGAATCATCGGATTATTAGCTCAGAAATAACCGTATACAACTTGCCTCCATACAAAGATTTGTGTCAATATTATTGGTCTCCTCAAGACTACTACAACTTATTGTATCTTAATATATATATAATCGCAAAATATGTTGCTAAGCTCAAAACTCGAAGACGTTTGGACCGATTCGAGTATTATTTTTATTTAATTCCTAGAAATATGAGGAAGGTTCTTATGGAGAGAAAATTGAAAAAAATATATTTGAAAAATGTAGTATTTTTAGTACTTAGGTATTATTCCGGAAAGGCGAAATATCTCTTCGAGATAGCGTAGCAAAATGTTTCATATTTTGGTATGTAACCACTAAAAGGTAGGCTTAGTAAAAAAGTCATATTAAAGCGAAACCGAAAACGAAAGTTCGCGGGGGCAGCTAGTTTTTAATAAAAATATCCATAGGCTAAAGGACGTATAAGTTCAGCAATTAAATAGTAACACTAACGAATGATCTTTCAAATTTTGAATGTAATAGTAATATTATGTATATCCAGAGATACTTTCTCCAGGCAATATTTGGGGATCTTGTTATAGACGTAGATTAGGTACTTTTAACACAGCATACTTACAGAGCGATTCAGTTTCACAGCCAGGATCGTATTGCTGTAACTGTAGTTACAAATCTCTGTTCCCTTTTTGTAGTGGCAAACTATCAGCTTCCTGAAATTAAAAATTAAAACAATTTAAACTCATACGTTTTGCTATTGAATACTATATCTCCATCCCTTTCGTGATACTCGTGATTAAAACCGGTCTATTATTGTCATTTAATTTGTTTTTATCAAACCGCAAAAAGGCAGGCTTAGCAAAAACAAAGTCTAATTATATCAGTCAAAACTTAAAGGTATGAAAGATGATTTTTTTAATTAAAAGGTTAAAAACCAGTCTTTGTTCTGGCCATTGACCTTTATTACAATAAAAATTTGGGCAGATTTTTCGCATAAGTATTGTTAAAATCGCGTCATCCAGTACGCGTCAAGCACACAATAAAAGCAAAGTTCTATGCCAAGTTAGACTGCTTAGACTTCGCTTACATACGATGCATCTAATGAGTTTTGTGACTAATGTAAATATGTAGATGTAAGAAATTACCTGAGCACTTAGCATTTGTCAGTAAATTAGCCTACTAGGGCACGATCCTGTAATTACATTGAGCTCTTAACTACGATCTATAAACATCAGCAATAGTTATCATAACGCTAATTAAATGATATTTGTATGGATTTCAAAAACATACTCTCACGTTCCTCAAGGTCAAATTTATATTGAAAATCTGTACAAACATGATATGAAAATGACGCGGTATTAATTTAATAATTGTAAAATATCTACATTCACACAATATAACGTGAATTACACAAAAACGTTTATTAAAAAAAATTAAATACATCGTCAAAACATTTCTTGTATAGAAAGTTAACAATATGATTAAAAGGTTTACGACTCTAAGTCAACGAACTATATTATCAGAAATTACGTCTTTTTCAGTAAACAATTAAACTCGATAACAGCTGATTAATCCTATTTATACATGGTCATGATTTTATATCTCCTTACATTGTATTTAAAGATAACTTAAATAATATAAAAAATAAATATGAGCAGACTACAGGGTATAGATAGCAGATTTCTCGGGCTTATAAACTAGAAATTTAATTTGTAAGACAAAAAAAATATAAGAAAAGAAACTATAAACCTATTTTCCTATTCAATAGGTCTCTTGATTAAGATCCCTGGTGTAAAACGAGACAGCAATCATACAAGCGCTATTTCTTAAGCTAATCCTGCGCTGCAATTGGCCTAAGACGCATTATAGCCTAGATGAGTTAGCAAAATTTAGATTAGAGATTAGAAATAAAGAAATGGAAATATGCAGCTTACGGGCTTGATGATCGGTCTATAGACGCTGTCGACCAATTCTAAGACCCCGAGGTCTAGCTGTCTTAGGAGCGGATGAATGTCTTTGAGTAATTAGAACCGACTATTGCACATAAGTTGAAAATATTTATGTTTATAAAAATCGGTGATACATGCGTGAACAATGCATGTACATACTGCGCTATACACGGGTATGACGAATGCTATCGTGCATCGTGATGCACGTGTAGTGACGTCCAAGCCACACCACGGGTCGAGGGTTATCGTCAGATTACACACGTTTAAGTAAAGCGATACTCATATCGAACTAAATTATATTTAATTGTGTTATTTAAAAGGAAACTTAAAAGACAATAGGTCGGTTGAGACTTCGGAGCTGACACTGATCAGCAATACCGTGTATTCAAAACACTGCAATGTTGCAAATCAACATTTTATCAGGAACTAAGTATTTTTGGTTTAAATGTGAGCCATTTTCGGGTAGATCATGAACGTCAACCGTTAAAACTTTTGTTTTGAAGTCTCCGCTCGTCTTGGGGCAATCGATTTGAATAGGAACTAAGCATCACTTAAAAATATACTGTGATTTAAAAACGTCCTTAGAGAAATTTCAATCAAATCATGTATAGCAAAAGGTTTTCTGGTAATTGTATAATCACTTTTAGTTGTATAATGTTTAATAGTTTTATAATATTTTTAGTTAACATTTAGTATATGTATGCGTAAATAAATCAATAAATCACAAACGTTAAGCATCAATGGCTTTGATATATTGTAAGAGACATGCGTGGCCTCATCTACTGATAGCAGACGAGGAATACTGGATTATTTATTTACATGTCTTTAGTTTACGCGAGTATTACACATTTAAAACTTAATTAACGAAAACGCTTTAAAGCACTCCAAACATCGAGTTAAGAGAATAATGTAATACTCCCATTTGTCCTGTTGGACATTGGTATTTATTAATTAGTATTATTATACTTTCATTAGAATTGCTATAAATGGATGTGAATATATACGAAGTTTAAATGCAACAGTTTAAACAAAAAATGCACTACGACTATTTTAGAATTGTATTAAAATCCAAATTCGTGTATTAATGACACAATTTGCTACGTATAACTTATAAGCCTTGTCAGTTGACATAGATTAGAGAAAAACATTTGAAGGATGCAAATCGATTTTGACGTATCCAGTTAATGATAACCTCTCCGCTCCTTTACATCCGTTTGCTGTTGACCTAGTTGCGTCTATTTTTATACGAATGCCTTGAATCCTTATAATAATATCAAATTACGGAACAGTTCCGTTTGCAAAAGCTCTCTGTTAAAATAGAATTTACGTTTAGCGAAGCACGACTTCGTCAGTTGGCAATAAATAGCGGTTTTCCAATATACACGGATAAAAACCGTAGCGTACCACCGCTAGTCTGGGCCGCAGATTGTTATATAGCCGTATTTGTTTCGTAATCATTTTTTTTTCTAAAAGGCAAGATCAGCCTTCTGTGGCAGCCACACGCCGTCGACTCTTATATCTGAGCCATGACGGTTTGCTAACGATATTTTTTTATGCGCACATATAAGTCCATTGGTGCAAAGCTGGGGTACGAACCTACGACCTCAGGGATTGCATGCCGAAGACTAAGCAAACACTGCTCTTCTACTATGGATCAGCTAAGTAAAATTTTGTAGTAAAAAAAAATTTGTTTTCCTTATAAAAATAACTCTTACTTTTGTATAGAAAAAACAAAATCTGTCCCCAAGACAAAAACGTATAGTTTATGCGTTGTTATTGAATGTTTTTAATAGTTAATACTAAAAATAAACAAAGCAAATCTCAATATTCGTGCATATTCCTTTCTTAATAAAACCTTGGACGTAGTCACGCTATATGTTATTCGTATAACATACGATATATCACTGCCCTTACCAATATAAATGAATGATTTGTTAACGGTTTTTAGTGTTATGACTTCCACGGCTATTATTTAGATAGAGATAGAGTAGTTTTCGTTTACTTTCCTTTCGTTCTGGATAAAAACTTTTAATTATAACTTAAGTTTAAGGCAAATTTAACGACAACTAGTTGAAATTTATCAATAATATATTTTTCCTTTCTTTAAAATTGTAAAAACAATAATTTGTGCCACGAAATCGATGAAATTCCACGTAACGTATAACATTCCAATTAAAGTGGTAATTTTACATTAACTAATGGACCGAGTTAGTTAGAAACATTAAGCTAAACGTTAGGCAATCTTTACAACAGAATTTAGGTTGTTTAGTTAGTCAAGTAGTGGGTCCGCGAAATAAGGGTTTTTTTAAAAACTTAAAGTTAAAATGAATACAACCGGTCCGATTTGAGGTCCGTTTAATACTAAATATTACAAGTATTCTATTATATTTATATCCTATTCTTAAAGGCCTACGTGACCGTTGTGCTGACACATTGTTCTCACGCTCTACAAGGAAACGTTACTTAGTAAGAACTAAGAGTGGTTCGTAAATCATGTAAGTGTGGTTCGTAAATCATGTAACAGCATTTCGGCTATTGAAATATAAAGGATCTTTGTACTACTATGTTGCAATGGTTTTTTGTTTATATAAAATATAATTATCCTATGGTGGTGACACACGGGATTATATAACTCCTCCCTCCTTAAGAGCGAAATTATCAGGGGATTGCACATGCAAATTCTGATTATTTCGCCACTGCAACATATTAATAATCTTATTTTTTATAAAAAACACAACAATTAGCAAAATACAATAAAAGAGTGCCTAAACTAATGCTTTTCACTTTCACTGAATTGCCCATTTCACTATCACTATCTCTGTTAAGTTGTTACAGCATGTAAGACATGTGTTGCCGGTCACTGAGCTCCATTCCTTGTAAGTTTACTGGATTCTGATTTTCCTTAGAGTTCACTGTTGACTGTAACTCCAGCAGCTTAATGGATGGGATACGTTCTGATGACATATTTTCTGTATATGAACGCTGATGATGTAATTGGATGTCATTGATGTTGAGATCGCAGGGTTAATCTATAGTAATGATATATTATGTTCCCTTTATAGAGTTTCGGCTTATCTCATTTTTGCAATTATTTTGAATAATGATTTGATTACTATTATTGTACCTTTACCTCTTCTATAATTACTGTATTCTGGTCACAGTTGGATGGGTTTTCCTTGAAGGTCATCAGCTCCTCAATGCATGTCGTTTCAGGATACGGTGCCCCTGTTTTCTTGTGTGCAGAGATAATTTTCCTCAGAGACTTGTTTGCAAGGCTGTATAAGCGGTAAGTATGTTACACCTTTCACCAGGATATAGGGATATTTAGGAATGATTATTAAGGTTAGGTTTTTAGGGTCATGAAAGATAGGTAAGGGATACATTTTATTACTATAAGTTGAATTGGTTATTAAAGCTACCTCTAATACAAAAGTTATTTTCCTGTCTATCATGTATGATTTAACATTAATCGTATCTTCTAATTTAACTAAATTATCCCAAGTGGGTGGATACATAAGATTTTCTGACTGTGATATATAAATTAAAATCTGTAATAAATGTGTAAAATATTGGTTTTGGTGAAAGCCAAAGCAATTTCTAATTCGCTTATTTTTTATATAAAGCGTTCTAAAATTACTTACAAAAAGATTATATAAACTTAAAACATATGTAGAGTATACTGCATTATTTTCTTTAGTACTTATGTCTTTTAACATTTTTTTTTCTACACGTTTTAGTCTTTCGTCCATAATTTTTGAGTTATT